ATCCAGATCAACTTCGATTTCGGATATCATTGTGAGGTCACTATCGACAAGATATTCCAATGGTCAGTGGTTTTACCGTTTGTAATCGAGAAATCATTTTTGATTACCTCAATGGCATCACAATGTTTCATATTCAGTTACCACTAGTAACCGTCCATAAATAGGTCCAGAAGTGACTTGGTTTCCAAGTTTTCATCTGTTTTTGCTGGTGGCGAATATGGGACTTGCGTGCTGCAAACATGTTGCAGACGCATGTGATGAATGCCAAAATCGGATTTCGAGAAGTCAAAGGAGAACAGACCTGAGAAAATTTAAGAAGGAATATTTAAAATGTTCCAAGGCTGATCATGGGGATAACAAACAAAATGACAGCGTTAGATCAAAACAACATGAGACCACCAAACTGATTTCAATTTAAGTAGTAAAAGAGGTCCAGAAGTGACTTGAATTCCAAGTTATTATCTGTTTACTCTGGCGAAGAATATGGGACTTGCGTGCTGCAAAGCTGTTGCAGACGCAGCTGATGAATGGCAAAAACGGCTTTTCAGAAGTCAAAGGAGAAGAGACTTAAAAAAAATTTAAGATGGAATATTTAAAATGTTCCAAGGCTGATCATGGGGATAACAAACAAAATTACAGCGTTAGATCGAAACAACATGAGACCACTAAAGTGATTTCAACTTAAGTTCTAGTTTATGCGTTTAATTTACAGGCGTTATAAATATAAACTACTACGGTTCTACCATCCATACTAGATTTATTATAACCCATTTATTCATAATTTTCTACTAATAGTGTTTTTGCAATAACGTTGACGTATATCCTATTCCTCTCAGCCAATTTAAATATGGGACTTGCGTGCTGCAAACCTGTTGCAGACGCAGGTGATGAATGCCAAAATCGGATTTCGAGAAGTCAAAGGAGAAGAGACTTAAGAAAATTTAAGAAGGAATATTTAAAATGTTCCAAGGCTGATGATGGGGATAACGAACAAAATGACAGCGTTAGATCAAAACAACATGAGATCACCATAAATATAAACTATAGGTCAGCCAGTGAAGGTAATAACAAATCGTCAATATCTGATAAAGTAATGTGCTTATTTGACTGCTATTTAGTAGATTATGTATTGATAAACATGCCAGATGTTTTTAGGAACATTCTACGCCTTGATCAAACGGAAAAGTCTTGATTGTTTGTGGGTAGTTACAAACGTTATACTGTTCAAGTGTCGCAGTTTATACAAGACTATTACTCAAATTCGGTTACCACTGGCAACAATACACACCTCATGCTAGGAGTGGCCTAGACTAGAAAGTTTCTACCTGACTTCACATCTGTAGATAACTGGTTGCAGACGCGAGCGATGAGGATAAAAAGCAAAATCGGCGTTTAAAAAGCCAAAAATAGAGGAAATCAAGGAAAATTTAAAAAAATGGTTTCAAAAGTCCAACATGGTAAGTCGGTTTAATTCCAAATCACTGTGGTACCATCTTTAATAAAAAATAATTCGTGAATATATTTTAATAGATTGAGAAACGGCAAATGAAAATGACTCTCCTTGAAGAAATTCTAGAAGCGAAGAGGAACCTGGGCTCTGTCGTGGTGGGTTTATTCGATACTCAGTTCTACCGTAAATATATACTACTACGGTTCTACCATCCATACTAGATTTATTATAACCCATTTATTCATAATTTTCTACTAATAGTGTTTTTGCAATAACGTTGACGTATATCCTATTCCTCTCAGCCAATTTAAATATGGGACTTGCGTGCTGCAAACCTGTTGCAGACGCAGGTGATGAATGCCAAAATCGGATTTCGAGAAGTCAAAGGAGAAGAGACTTAAGAAAATTTAAGAAGGAATATTTAAAATGTTCCAAGGCTGATCATGGGGATAACAAACGAAATGACAGCGTTAGATCAAAACAACATGAGACTACTAAAGTGATTTCAACTTAAGTAGTAAAATAGGTCCAGAAGTGACTTGGATTCCAAGTTCTTGTCTGTTTTCGCTGGCGGAGAATATGGGACTTGCGTGATGCAAACCTGTTGCAGACGCAGGTGATAAATAGCAAAAACGGCTTTCGAGAAGTCAAAGGAGAAGAGACTTAAGAAAATTTAAGAAGGAATATTTAAAATGTTCCAAGGCTGATCATGGGGATAACAAACAAAATGACAGCGTTAGATCAAAACAACATGAGACCACCATAAATATAAACTATAGGTCAGCCATTGAAGGTAATAACAAATCGTCAATATCTGATAAAGTAATGTGCTTATTTGACTGCTATTTAGTAGATTATGTATTGGTAAACATGCCAGATGTTTTTAGGAACATTCAACGCCTTGATCAAACGGAAAAGTCTTGATTGTTTGTGGGTAGTTACAAACGTTATACTGTTTAAGTGTCGCAGTTTATATCAGGCTAGTTATTACTCATATCCGGTTACCACTGGCGACAACTCACCTCATGCCAGAAGTGGCCTAGACTAGAAAGTGTCTACCGTACTTCACATCTGTAGATAACGGGTTGCAGACGCGAGCGATGAGGATTAAAAAGCAAAATCGGCTTTTGAAAAGCCAAAAACAGAGGAAATCAAGGAAAATTAGAAAAATGATTTCAAAATTCTAACATGGTAAGTCGGTTTTATTCCAATTCACTGTGATACCATCTTTGATAAAAATAATTCGTGAATATATTTTAATAGATTGAGAAACGGCAAATGAAAATGACTTTCCTAGACGAAATTCTAGAAGCGAAGAGGAACCTGGATTCTGTCGTGGTGGGTTAATTCGATACTCATTTCTACCATCCATACTAGATTTATTATAACCCGTTAGTCGTTGTTATAACCCATGTATTCATAATTTTCTACTAATTGTGTTTTTGCAATATCTTTGACGTATATCCTATTCCTCTCAGCCAATTTAAATATGGGGGTGGCGTCCTGAAAATGCACAAACGACGAGAATAGGGATTGGGGGAACGCGCATAAAAAGAAAAAAATGTCCAAGACGCAAAGGTGGCGTTGGTTGAGAAGAAAAAAAACAGATGGAAAGGTAATTCAATCGAAGAATGGTACTGACCCAACGAGGGAAGCGCTAGATCAAGAGTGGCCAACCGGCGGCTCTTGCGAGGGTTTGTTTGAAATTTCCTCTAGTCTAAGATGAGGCTGCAATCTTATGAGGAAGACCAACTGAAATGCGCTTCAAGAGAACGGACCATTAGGCTGTGAACTATGGTAAAGCATGCTGATGGGAAAATACCCCAAGGTCAAACGAGCTGCGATTAGGATATTGTCAATGTTCTGGCTCAACATTCGTCTGCGAATCTTTGTTTTCTACACTAAAAACATGAAATCAAATTTAAAGAGAATTGTTTAATCTAAGAAATGCCAGAAGTCCCACTAAGTAGCCTGTATACCAATAAATGACTTGTAAATTTCTGTCATAATCATTTTGGTTCGCGATTTTTACAATAAATATATATGTAGATATTTTAAGGGGAATTATTAGGAAATATTAATTTATTTGATAGCTTGAAAAATATGGAATCAAAGTGGACTCATCTATAACATCAGTCTATCAACAACTTCAGAGCGACAACGTTGTGGTAAGCGATGTGATGAGTTTATATGACGTTCTTTGATTTAAAACTTGTTTAGACATACGTGTTTAAACATTTTAAATTTACAGAAACCTGAATCGTTGGTGATACAGTCGTGAGTGAAATTTGTCCTATTCCCTTATCATAATGAAAATTGCAAACTTTTCACTTATCGTTACTATTTGGCATTACGTTCCTACTTTGACATTTTAATTTAGCAACCTCTTTGAACTCATAATACATGATGATGTTGGCAACTGGCAATTTGATAACAAAGTAAGTTTTTAGATTTAATATAATTGAATAAGACCAATATTTGTGTTTCAAACTATATTGATTTGTTAGGAAATGAAAATGTCGTTCCCAGACGAGTTGGTTCAAGCCAAAAATAACCTCGTTCCGGTAAATATGTTTGAAACTTATTCACACCATATTCATTAGATTCGTGAAAACCCCCTTATTTATTTTACCATCTTTTTCACATAAATAGAACTATATCAGCGTGTTAAGTATAAGCAGCAGGTTTGATTTTCTCTACGACTACTATGTTTTGTAAATCCTTGTTCCTTTAATGTCATCAAATGTATCTAACCTAAACGAAGAATGATGATAAATAAGCCAACAACTATCTAAAGTTTTGAAAAGGGTTTTCTTCCCACGGTTTGTTATAAAAAAAGCAAGATTAATTACAGAATCTTATTTTTACTATTTCAGTCAAGGAAAATCTTGTTGTTTAAGATGGGAAGTTGGTTGCATTCAACAGCAGTGCCAAATCATCGCGTCTTGCAAGCCATATATTGAGTAAATAATGTTTCTTTCTTGTGCTAAATGAATATTATTCTGTTGAATTTATAAGATTGTGGCAATGCTTTTTTTTTGTAATAATTGCATGTCATTTTAGTATATTAACCCAGTAGTATAATAATTAACTTTTTCAGTGTACCTTATTCGAACCATCAGGAGTGAGATTTTTCTTCCAATTGCTTGGTATCCGAAAATTGTCACTCCACCAGGACAGCTAGCTATCAAAATTTGGAAAGTTTTGTCAGCATGAGAGAAGATGTTTTCGGATTCATGCTGCTGTTGCGGATGGAATGTCAACAAATCGGCGGAGTTTCAAACTAATCGTTGACGTAAATTCCATCCCGCTTGAAAGGACCTTCGCCGCACAATCCAGATCAACTTCGATTTTGGATATCATTGTGAGGTTATTATCGACAAGACATTCCAATGGCCAGTGGTTTTACCGTTTGTAACCAAGAAATCATTTTTGATTACCCCAATGGCATCACAATGTTTCATATTCAGTTACCACTAGTAACCGTCGATAAACAGTTCCAGAAGTGACTTGGGTTACAAGTTCTTATCTGTTTTTGCTGGCGGAGAATATGGGACTTGCGTGCTGCAAACCTGTTGCAGACGCAAGTGATGAATTACAAAAACGGCTTTCGAGAAGTCAAAGGAGAAGAGACTTAGGAAAATACAAAAAGGGTGTTTCAAGGCTGATCATGGGGATAACAAACAAAATGGCAGCGTTAGATCAAATCAACATGAGACCACTAAAGTGATTTCAACTTAAGTTCTAGTTTGTGAGTTTAATTTACAGACCTTGTAAATATAAACAACAGGCCAGACAGTGAAGTTAATGACAAATCGTCAATATCTGATAAAGTAATGTGTGCAATCCTTATGAGGAAAACGTGTCAAGGTGTGAGAGAAGATGTTTTCGGATACATGCTGTTGTTGCGGATAGAATGTCAACGAATCGGCGGTGTTTCAAACTAATCGTTTGCGTAAATTCTATCCCACTTGAAGGGACTTTCACTGCTCAATCCAAATCAACTTCGATTTTGGATATCTGACCTTTTGTAACTAAGAAATCATTATTGATTACCTTAATGACATCACAATGTTTCATATTCAGTTACTACTAGTAACCGAAGCCAGCAGCGGCTGGGGTTCCAGTCCATATCTTATTTTACCGGCGCTGGATTTAGGACTTGCGTGCTGCAAATCAGTTGCAGACGCAGGTGCTGAACAGGAAAAACGGTATTCGAGAAGTCTAATGTGAAGAGAATCAAGAAAAGTTAAGAAAGAATATTTAAAATGTTCCAACGCTGATCATAGGCATAACAAACAAAATGACAGCGCTAGATCAAAACAACATGAGACCACTAAAGTCGGTTCAAAGTTTTTCAACGTCACTTCGAGTTTGTGAGTCTAATTTACAGGCATTATGAACATTCACAATAGGCCAGACAGTGAAGTTAATGACAAATCGTCAATATCTGATAAAGTAATTTAATAGATTATTTATTGGTAAACATGCCAGATGGTTAGATTAACTTCACTCAAAAATAATTAATCTTTGCGGACGAAAAACTTTATGAATCAAATGACATACATTAAATGGTATTGGCGACGATGGCTGCACAAAGATGATGAATCTTGTAATAACAACAACAATATACTTGAAAAAGAAAAGTGTGATTATTTTTCCATCGCCGTGAACTGCGTTTCGTTCCTTCATACCGAACACAACCTAACCACAATGTAAAGGTGGTCTAGTACATGGAATTTCTTCAGTGAACTTTATTCCCATTATCAATCACATACATTTGAAATAGATTTTTAAAACCAGTTGGCTAAAAGATAATACAATAGTTCATCATCAGCTAGTAGCCCAAGGCATGGATGGATGATTGTTACACGAAACGGATATGAATAATATGCATATTGACAAATTGTAATCAACTTATGCATTTTTAGAAATGGAACGCTTGGGAGAAGAAACTGCTTGAAGCCTGTGCGAGTATCTCTGGAAAATCGTTTGCGAAAGTAAGTTTTCAACTGTTTTAATTAATAGTTTTCTGTTGCCACTATTCACAAAACATTTTATTTACAGAACTCCGACAGCAGTTTGGGAGACAAACTCCCTGCTTTGGGCATCGGATTTAAACTTTTTAAATTTACAAAAACCAGAATCGTTGGAGATAAAGTCGTGAGTAAAATCTTCTTTATTCCATTATCATGATAAAAATTGCAAACTCTTCACTTTATATCTAGAATCGTTACTATTTGGAATTATACTTCTTCCATGACATTCTAATTTAAAAACCTCTTTGTTCTTGATCGCTTCGCATTATAAATGGACGTATCCGTCTAGCCTGTTATTTGCAAAAAATTTAACTTTTCGGAAATAACATACATGATGATGATGTTTAGAACCCGCAACTTGAGACCAAAGTAAGTTTTTAGATTTAGTAAAGACGAATAATTAAGTTTTAACTATATTGGATTTTTAAAAAATGAAGATGTCGTTACTAGACAAATTGGTTCAAGCCACAAATAACCTTGTTTCGGTAACTTTTTTCAAATCCATTCACTCCATATTTATTAGATTCATGGGAATCCCCTTACTTGAAGTTGTAAAATGAATAATATTTCCATAAAGACGAGAAATTCTCACTACTCAACTCATGTTTTATAGCGTAAATTTCAGTAATTTAATTTTGTTTATTGTGATTACGATGATCGTGTTTTTATTTCAGCTTTCAAGTGCAACAGACATTTCAGAATTGTGGTAGCAGTAGTGATATATAGCCCACTATTCCCAGAAAACAGAATAGTCCGTCTCTTTTGTCTACTGGAACATTTGAAAGATCCTCGTAAGTTGAAGGATGTACAGCAAAATGACTAAAACTGCTTGCTACTACTTTTTTTTTATCGTTTCTGTCTAACCTGTTATTTGCAAATATTTTGACTTTTCAAAAAATAACATACCGGGATGATGAATTTGAAAAACCGCAATTTGAAACCAAAGTCAGTTTTTGGATTTGATAAGTTTATCAAGACGAATATTCGTTTTTTACTTATATGGATATTTTAGGAAATGGAAATGTCGTTCCTAGACAAATTGGTTCAAGCCAAAAATAACCTTGTTGCGTTAAGTTTGTTTAGAGACCTTATTCACACTATATTCATTAGGTTCATGGGAAGAAGTTCCTTACTTATTTGTCTCTAGTTTTTAATAAAAATTGAGAGCTTTCAATATTTGAATCAGAAACTCAATAGGATTCAGATGGCAAGCAGTCCAGAAACTTTCTATCCAACTCGGATGTACGGAGAACTTTTTTAATACATATTCTTAAATACTGACGTAAAGCTTAAAAATTAATGCTACGTCGGTTTTATTACATTTCATTGTAGTATCATCTTTAATAAAAATGAATCGTCAATATTTTTTGATGGATTGAGAAACGGCAAATCAAAATGGGTTTTCTGGAAAAAATTCTAGAAGCGAATGGGATGTATTATATGTGTATAATATATGTATTAAGATGTAAAATTCGGTCAAGGGTGTCGATACGCTAATGAGAGGGGCACTGAAAACAAGGTTATTAACTTGATTTGCACAACTAAGTGATGGAATCCAAGAGCAACGTTCACGTTAACTAAATAATAAATCATTGTGCCAACATAAATTCTAAACATTGAGTTTTTTACGTATTAAAAATGTGGGATGTGCGGGGTGTACCATTCCAAAAAAGGATGACGAGCACTGGTCTAAATAAAATTACACAATAAAAAATCGATACGATTCACCCGGATACTTGTAGAGAGGGTGATTTTGATCTTTTTAACCAAGAAACCATTTTGGGATTTTAGTGTAGTCACAATGTTTCTACTCCGGTTACCACTAGCAACAGTACATAAAAAGAGTTTGGGCTCAGAGATATTCTACCCGAATATCTTGGTATGGGGCTCGCTCGCGAACAACAACAAGGAAGACAAGAAGAACCCTCCGAAAAAGTGATGTCCAAGTCAGGGCGTGTTTTATGTGTTTATTTTTACTGGCAGTATGGATAGAAACAATAGGCCGGTCAGTGAATAACAAATTATCAATGTCATCATACTGAGTAGACTATGCATTGATTAACATGTCAGGTGGTTTCAGCTCCACGTTTTCATTAATCAGAAAAGTACTGATTTTTTTTGTGTAACTACAAATGCAATTGCAAGGGACATTGGAAACGAAGTGAACTTATGAGTCTTTTTGTTATTAAGTTGTTGTTCTTGATACTCATTGTATTCAATAAAATCCGTTCAGGTGCAAAGTGTAGACTGGTTACCATTCAAATTTGCAATACAGAATGTGGCACAAAGGGTTGGTTAAGATTTTGAACACAGTTCTATGTCATACTTTCGTAATATATTGCTTAAATCAAATTATTCAATTAATCCTATTTAACAACCACAATATACACATTTTCAAACATTCCCACGATGTGATGTGTAGGGATACATGCTGTTGTTGCGGATGAAATGTCAACAAATCAGCGGATTTTCATATTATTCTCTGGGGTGACTGTTATCCCACTTGAAGGGACTTTCACCGCACCAAACCCGTACAATCCAGATCAACTACCTCTTTGTGCTCCGCCCGATCTCATCTTTTGAATGTGAAATGATAATCTCTTCGATTTTGGATATCATTGTGAGGCGACTACGGTCCATGCCGATTCGACAGGATATTTTTAAGGGTCGGTGATTTTGACCTTCCTAACTAGGAAATCATATTCGATTACCTTAATGACGTCACGATGTTTCATGTCAGTTACCACTAGTAACCGTGCATAAATAAGGCCAGGAGCAGCTGAGAATTAAGAAAGTCACTGGCTTCGACCCACTTCATGACGTCATAACGATTCCGATGCGGTTGCCACTAGCAACAGTACATACCTCATGCCAGAAGTGGCCTAGATTAAGACAGTTCCTACCAGTCTTGCGATTGTAAAAAGGAGTTGCATGCTTCGAGACTGTTGCAGACGCAGGTGGTGAGAAAACAGTGTGCCAGTCAGTGAAGTGAATAGTAAATTATCAATGTCATCACACTTTCATGGTTAAATGAGTATTTGACTGATATGTAGTTGACTATGCATTGGAAAACACGTCGGATGGTTATGTCAATTTTGTTACATTATGTGTGATGTGACCGTAGGTGAGACGTAGGTAGATGAGTATTTGACTGATATGTAGTTGACTATGCATTGGAAAACACGTCGGATGGTTATGTCAATTTTGTTACATTATGTGTGATGTGACCGTAGGTGAGACGAACCCCGCCCTGCCACTTTAGAAAACCTAGCTGACCAAAGGAAGTTCTGGGAAGGAGATAGACTTCTTTGTCTTATAGCGATCGACTATTCAAAACTAATACCCTCAATCGTAAAGATACTAGCACTGCCATATAAATACATATTTGCTTTAAAAATTGTACATGGAGCGAAATGAAACTTTTTGTCACATTGATAGATGTTCACGAATATGCAAAAACACTGAATACTTTTAGATATGTATACGCCCCTCATCAACAAGTACGTGATTTGTTTTCAGTTTGCGTTAATAAGCGAGAGTGTTTTCTAAGTGAGCATTTTCTTTTCTACATAATATCCAAGTCTAACATAACTTGATACGACTGAAAATTAACAATTCCCAATTCCTAGAAAACACTACCGGTCTAAAACGTCGTTAAATCACCTTGTTATTTACAGGGTCGTACCCCGTTGAAGATACAGGGGGGGGGGGGGGGGGGGGGCGAGAGGTCACGAGATGGATTCCGAAATTTACATGTAACGACTCTTGAAACGGTCTCCGCGTTCGTTAAAACTACCGGCTTTTCCGTGTTATAATAAATTTTTCTGTCTCGTAATAACTACAATAATTCAAAATGTCTCTCTATTTTAATTCATTAGTGTTCAAAGTAACTCGCGGTTGCGGCGACTCACGACAAAATAAACTCATTACCTATCTAAAATATCACGCCAATCCGCGGACATAATAAAGTGTGATCAACTGCCCGATTATATTTAGTTTTTATATATATTGCACTCATGCAAATTCGTTGTCGTCATTAGAAAGATCTGGTATAATATCCCAAAAGGAAATTTAAATTAAGTACAATTAAAATACATCTAAAGTATATTAGTAGATGAAAAATACATATTCATCGACACGAAATCCCCGCGGTACGGCTCCTGAGTCAGTCCTCGAGATTACGCCAGTCGTTAAAAGAGCCGACTTTTTCAACGGATATGTAATGGTTTTCCTGTTGAATAAAATATTCAATTCATGATCAATATACGTATTTAAAATGGTTGCTTTATTCATTTAATTGTGATAAATTAAATCTGCGATTGCGTCGCGGTAACACGGTAATCCGCAACCATAAAAATGTCGATTACATTTTGATTTGTATTCTTGCCAATTTCACCAATATGAGCTGTCCCTGCAACTCCTACTCCGCTCTATCGCAATGCCGCCACTCGATTAATTTCAAGATATCACCGTTATAGATATTCCTGCGATCCCACGGAGTAAATTATGGCAATTATGAGTTAATGAGAGTATAATAATGCATTAAAATCATCAGCTGAGAATTCGATGCATCTGATCAACCACCAACACTATTTTCAACAAATAGAATCAATTTTTCGAAATAATAAATCTCTTGAAAGTACGTCCAACTTAACAGCACTTAGAGCCAGAAATTTATTCTGTGAATCAACATTTCTTCTGCAATTGCCATAACATGATTGAAGTTTAAAACTGATGTATTCTGCTCAAAATGTAGATTAATTTCGTTTCACAATTACATTTAAGCATATTTGTCAGTTCGGTCAGATTCACAATACATTCTTTTACCTCTTGTTTAATAATAATATGCAATTCAAGAGTCTGCTGCACACAACAAAATGTATTTCTGTAACGTTTCGTCTGACCAAAATCAGGCTTCCTCAGACAAGCAGTTTACAACAATAACAAGAAAAGAACAATCATGTGGTTAAAATACGGCGATAAATAAATTTGTAGATCAGGGTTAGGTAGGCTGTCTAGGAACTCTTGCATAAAAAAGTTTGATTACTAAAACTTTGCGTAACAGCTCACAGCAAACATATATTGTAGCAAGTGGCCTACTACGTGTGCCCAAGGTCTGATTCCTTAGGGCTTCGAGCCTTAGACCGTTGGCGTTAGATAAGGTCTGATTTTGGTTTTCTTACTCTTCATAATTCGAAATAATAATTTGGATTTGGGAGTTTGAGGTATATGTGGCTCGTTCTGCACATTATCTTCAATGAGGATTATGCCTGTTACCGGAAATACGACAAACAGGTATTGCAAAGCCTATTTTTAAGGATATTTCTTCATAGCAAGGTCACGCACATTCATTCGGCGAGTTAGAAGCAAAGTGTCTACCGGTACAACCCAACCCCAAATAAGTAAGTCCATGCATTGGGTACGTTATAAGCGCTTGTGTGACGTCACACGTGCCATTTTGGGTCCAAAGTTGTATCACTGTACGGTAAACCTAAAATATTAAACAATGAGCAACAAATTTTAATATAAAAATTCTTGATATAAATATCGCTACTTGCACAGAACCTATTTTAACAAACTCACAGAAACTTGCAATTATTTGTACCTGTTCTAATAATGAAATCTGCCCATCGCTGAATTTCAACAAGGTGTACATTCCACGAATATATTGAAAAAATATACTCCATGCATGGAATGAAGCATAACTACATATAACAAGATAACAGGAACATCTAACAATATGGACTGTATGAAATAATATATATACTATCTATCTGACTTGAGCTCTTGCTGCATTTTTACTACCATACTGTTTTTCAATAATTTTATTTGTCACCTCTTTTGGGTGAATATATATTTAACATTATATTGCGAAAACGTTTAAAAATTTTAAAAGCGACAATATGGGAAATCCTATTTCGAGCAGTCGACTTTATTTCCCAGAAGTAACTGGCGAACCTATATTATGAAAGGAATTAACATTGGCACGGAATAAAGTTTCTACTACGCGCAAAAATACGATTGCTTTTATGAATGGGTGGCAAAAATAGTGGTTAAAACTATTAATTTTCTAGACCAAAAAGAGTTAGTTACGATTATGGGCAATCATCGGGATTGACACTTTCTGTAAAAACAAACGCATATCTGCAGATTCCACTGTCTTGTTTTTTTTCACTTCTTTGAACATAGCTCAGCCTGTTAAATAATACAATGTATATATCAGCATTTCCGATTAGCTGGCATTGCCTTTCAGCTGGAACGAATGAAATGCAATTTTTGTAAAACCAGGCTGGAAGCAAGAATTACCATCTTCGTAATATACTTGAGTGTGATAGGGAAAGATTCGAGGCTCTGCGCAGTGCGCACGTATTGATGTTCCATATTTAAAAAAATATATAAAGTCAAGTTTTTCTTCCCATGGACGTTAACACGGCTTCAATGGATTTTACATGCTTGCGCGACCGATTTGATTTCTCGTGACAACACATATATAAGTCATTTTTTACTGTTTTTAAAAAGCTGTAAGAAAATGCCTCTTTTTATTTGTAGGTGAATTAATGATCTGCGAGTATGGGTGGTTAATGGTCATAAAGCACATTGACCAATTTCCCTTTCCGCTCCTGTTTTACAATTAATGTAGATTTTATTTTGACCATCTGCCCGCAAGTAATTTAGGTAATCAGAAGCATACAACATACAACAAATGGCAATGTGATCTAATGAACGCAAGTGTTTTCGCATTTTTGTCACAATTCACCGTATCGACTCAAAACTCTTTATGAATCTATCAGTGATCCAGTTACATAGATTGAGAGAATTTGAGTTCATTCATTTTTAAAGGTGTTTTTTCAGTAAATATCGCTAAAGTGTTTCTTAGTAGGTTGAAATAGGTATCATTTTCAATAGTGGGCTTGGGCTGCGGCACCTACATGAAAGATACCGAAATAATAGTTGTACCGTGCGAGGAGGTATTCTCAAACATTGTTCTGCCCAGCCTGAACCCCGCCTCTACTTTCTGTTATTTAATCTCTGTAGATGTGGCAGTTGCGCATTGCAGTCATTTTGCTATTTGTCATGACAATAAGCTTTTTTTTGTTCAACAGATTTATATTATAAACGCATGATGTCGCATGAGATATTTTCATACAAATTTTAAAAAAAGTGACAACTTCTCATTTCATTATATTACTTGAGCAATTACTATGCTCATTGCTAGGGTGAGGTCGGTCGTCGGGACATAGAAAAATGATGGATTCGCTCGCTCCTTTATGTAATCTATGTAAAGAATGGAATTTTGCTCGTGCATTCAACTCAGAATCGAGAGACGTGACTGAGCGAAGTTACAGCAATCACCGATGTGCCTTGAGCGATACTGAGGCTATCCACAATTCTACGGTTCCAAGGCATAAAAGGGCTTTGAACAAACTTTATCTAAAACTATAACAAAAATGAGGCTCGATAAACTGGTATCGCATCATAGTTCGTAGCAATATTCACCAACGCTTTTTCGATAAAAAGTTATAAGACCTCAAGTTGACCCGTAGTAGTGAATTAGTTAGTACCTGTTAGTAATTACCGATTGGCCCGAGACTTATTGACATATATATAAGGGACAACGCATCGCTTGTTTGGAAGCAATTGTTGTGGACCCAGGTTTATGAATTTTCATTGACATTTGAGATACCGACGTTATTTTACAAACATATTTATACATAAATACCATGTTATTTCGCTTTTTCAGATATTTCGACATAGGCACATGGCAGAAAATTATGGAATTAGTAAAACGATTTGAAGCTTCTACTAGGGTCTTGAATAAAAAAGGTGCTCTACATAATATTATGTGTTTACTTGCTGCGTGTTTTTTCCGTTAGATACTCATTTTTGCGTCATATTTTATGGAATTATTTGAATAAGGTGCCCAAAATGAATTAGTAGAACCCGACATAAATCTATGCTGCAGGAAGGTGGTTAGGGTCTATGTTGAGTCTTGCAATTACTAAAAATGGAAAATCGGTATATGTGCATATTGCAGTCACTCGTGTGTATGCTATTCAGTTGTTCCGCAGGAATTTTATTAGGGATATATATACGTTATGTCTGAGAATAGTAAACCGTTATTAAATGGTTAACAGTATAATTGATTTTGATCTGCCGTACAAGGTATACATACATATGTTAATGCCCAGATCAATGTAAAAATACCTCCAAATATTCAAAACAGTTGCATATTTTTGTGAAAGATCAACTGAGCAGAGCGGCTAGTTACTAGGTAGATACTTTTGGTGTACGGACAAGCTTTATTTCCGAAAATTAAATATTCAGTGTGGAGAAGTTGATTCATGCCGGGCCTTTGACACCAACAGTGGTTAAGCAGACTATTATACCAGTTTAACAGTTAAAGCGGCTTTTTATGAAATTCTCAGCCCATTATACGTATATATATATTTAGCTCTTTTAATTTTGAAATATTCACTCCAAACGGATGCATCACAATCGTATACCCTGTGTTCTTTGTTCGTCCAATATTTTTTTATCAATCACAACGAATCTTGAATATCTGAACAAAATGAAATGGCGTGAACACCATTTAAAGAAAGGTTATAATGTGACAGACGGATAAATGGATCTGTAGCGCCTACATATATCTTAAAATAGGACATGACGTTGGAAATATTTATTGCAACCCCTCGATACAAAGGATAAATAACATTCAACCGTGTGAATATTATCCACCATTCCTTGCTTTTATATAAAATTTCTCCATCTCAATATGGAACAATATTTACCCTGATTAACGTCAACTTGATACTTTCTTTCAACTTTCTCAATCAATTCGGACTGCATAGTTGGCCCCGAAAAATTTATTATTCTCAGAGATGACTTTCCACAATCAAATTTAATGTCATCCTGCATCAATCCAACCGCAGTCGTATCACGTGTGAAAACTGTTGTAACCTGAATTGCAATATAGTTTTCAATTTAGTTTTAATAAAAGCAAGCGAGCGCTACCAATACTTTCGTTGTTGAAAGCTTCTTAGATAGGATTTGTAAAATCTTTACCTAGCTACAATACCGTCGCATTGTAGTAACGAGTACAGTTTGCACATACCTCATAAATTTTCCTACAAGCACTTTCAATTCTAAATAATAATAATTCTTCGGTAATTTAACGATTCATGTCGATGCCATTACTAGTAAATATGTCTTACCTGATGGGTTTTTACAGCCTTCAGCATGCTTATAATGTCACTTCTCTTTCTGAAGACTAGTTTGAACCCTGCAAAAAGTGACGCAAGCATCGTCTCCACCCCTACCTTCTGAACCATTGGTATGTCAAAATAATTACACGGTAAATCGGATTTGGTAGCTGACAATAATCTGAAAATATGTGGAATAATTTTGTTACAGGGTCGGTTGTTATTTGAGATCATTATTTGGGTGTGTTTTCACTATTCACATCTATGAGCGGGGAAAGTGGAAAAGATCATTATTTATCATTTCTGTTATATACTCGACTTCTTCGCTTCTCAGAGATGAAGAGTGAAAAGATATTCTATGTTCTTACGTTTGTGCAATACACTCAACTCTTTCAATAATGCTTGTATGTGTTGTAGAAACGTCATTTAGTGTTTTGTTGTCATCGTTTGCATAGGATATAATTGCTACGTCAAAATTAGGGTTTATGTCAATCCGCGTGAAATCTGAAAAAATAATAATAAGATTGTAAAGTTACATTTCAGCAAAATAACATACAATATCAAGACGTGAAGTTTTCCTATTCAGCCTACCGCTAAGACCAATCATCAAAATGAAAAATAAAAACGAGAAAACAACTCACCACTTGTCGATTGAAGAAAATACGAGGTTGTTATATATTTCTCACTTTCTCCGATGATAATCACTTTCTGCAAATTTAGAATAAGTAGATGTTTGCTTGTAAATATTATAACGCACGAGGTCAAAAACCAGAGAGAATATGAAACAGAGACGCACTGGAAGGAAGGGACTTGTCTAAAGAGGGCCGAAGGGAAAGTCGCCCCGGCAGAACGTTATAGGGGTGCGTTTGTTGCTTAGCTTGATAAAAATAATAATAATACAAATATGTCACTCTTACTTGACCTATAATTTATTATTCTCGTGTATAACAACATCTATACTTTGTTTATCCCCAAAATATTTTTTGACGTTAGGTATTGGAGCATCATTATCAGAAACTCGCCCGACACTCGCTTTGGCACGCCTCTGCCAGGGGTAAACGGATAAGAAATTTATATCGAAGAATAGATCATATCGTATTTATTTAAATATATTTTTCACATTACGTCGTATTTTTTTTGATACCTTCACCATTCTGATTTTCTGCACAACCTGATCCACTGTTTCAGAGGCCTCTTCCGTTGAAATGACCATAGTCGGTCCACAATGTTGGAAGTGTTCAAACATTTTTTCTGAAGAACAATAATTTCGATAACATGTTTTACTGATCAAGGTTTATGTATTCTTTTTATTATCAAACTTTACATGCCTCAAATCCAAATAGACGAAACATTCTGGTTTGGGTGGCGATGGGCTTGAATCGAAATCTCAAATCTGCGAGGCCAACATATAGTTTGGTTCAACTTTTCATACATGCTCACGTTGCAATATACCGAAGCCGAAAATTTTATACAATTGGTATTTTCTGTGAACTGACGATTAACGAAAACCACATACCGTTTAGTCGTGAATTCCACTCTGCATGCTTTGTACAACTATTTACTTGAAGCATATTTTCTGTCATAACTCAGAACATATCATCGTATACTATTTAATTACCTCGAGAACAAATTACCTGTACTTCAATTGATCAGGTAGACGTTTTTCGCGCATGGAATCGTGCCCATATAAAATGATTAAAGAAAGCAATATTTGGACTGATATCCCCACGACTTTTAGATGGTGATACGTGTTATTATGGTTATTTACATTTCAGAATCTGGTTTTTACCATCCCATGTCAACATAGATATAAATTTTCCTAAAATATGACATACCTTTTGTGAATGTCGGGGTGCACAAAGAGACTCTAGCACCACAAGCAATGATTCCCAGCATTACAACTGGAAATTCCAGGCAGTTTGACGAACATAGCGCGACAACGTCTCTTTTTCTCAATCCTTGTTCGTACAAATACCCTGCACAATTTCTGACTTGATTGTAAAATTGACTGTACGTCAAAGAGTTTCCGCCATTAGAGTCGTCTACCTGCCCACATAAAGAATAATGATGCTTGTAAATATTTTATCTATATTACAAATATTCAACAAGAAATTAGCGTGAGAAAAAGCTAAGGCAACTTTATGAACGAGCTACCTACATGTGCCTCTTCCATATTGGCCGTCAAAATCAACATAACATAATTCGGGACAAATGTAGTAAATATGAGACGAGATAATATTTATTCCGAGTCCATGCTTACAAGAAAACGGCTGAGAAGCCATTTCCGCCAAATAAAATAATATGTTAAGAATTACGTTTAGCTATAGCTGATCTCATCTTACCAGTGCAGTTTTATCTCCATATGATCTTATTTTCTCCAATAATATTTCCGTTAAAGATTTGTCCGAATTGTTACCATTCTGTCTTGTATCCCCGGTTAAAATCGTGCCTTGATTAACGTAAGACACAGTTCGGTCCACTTTGCAGTCATAATTTTGCATAACTTGTTGTTGTTATGTTTTATGGCGCTTATACATAACTTAAAACTATGCCAAGTATAAACTGTTGGCAATCCTTTTCTGCCAAATGTAGCAATAGTAAATCATGTGCTTGTGCTATTGCAGGCGTTATCGTGACGTAATTCAATGTTTTATTCATAATATAATTTGACTCACTAAAGATACAGTCTCGGTGTGCTGCTGACAGAGTAGTAGATACTACTTCCTGGAACTGTGAATTCATAGCATACCTAGGCGACATAATACTTCCTCGCTGCTCAATTTCACTTTCGTATTACCAATCTACGAAACCTACATTTCAACCAAAGTCAATATTCTTAACTGTTTATGAACCTTCCTGTTTACTCTATGCTGTATTTTTCTGTGAAGCAAACTAATCACACATCGCAATCATATTCATTGATCATTCAATGGATGAATATAGTTAGCCTACATGATGCCATAGCAAATGTATAGTATAGTATCGAAAAAGGTGTTGTTATCTTTATTTCAGCTCGTGACACGATACCGTTTCGCAGACATGGGCTTTTATATCGAATGTACATTTCACAAAAGGTGGTACGCGCAGCGCTGTGTGGTTCCGCTTGCTGACATACAATAACGAGATTTGTATTGAGCTATTCGATACGGCGTCACTTTATTCATCAGGGGCTTCAAACATAGCCTTTCAATACAAAGCTATATAAGTCTCTAGACGCATAACCTCATTTGAACTTGGAAATGGCGGAAGGTCTGTATAAATGTTATAATTAAGCGTTTATTTTCCTATCTATAGAATTGGGATTATTCGTTGATAGCGCTTCAACGAGTAAAGTAACCATTTTTGATAAATAGAGTTAAACTTGCTAAATTTGATTTTCGCGAGCCTCTTTATTTAGCAAGTATTGCTATCAGTCGTTCACCAATCTATGTATTGAAACAAAAAACTGAATGCTGTTAATTCCAAGGACGCTTCTCTATGTTAATCTGTGTTGTTGAATATCGACAAGGATTAAAAATGGAAACATATAATGTCATGAATATAATACTAGGAGTGACATTATGTCGAAAATCATCCCACCGAAGTAAATCACTAAATGACGACTTCACAACACTTCAATTTTCCGTATTAAAGCCCAAGTATGCGCTCTCCGAACTTTGCAAGAAATGCGTATTAAACGTTTAATATTGTTTTTTTCTAAACAAGATTTATAGTTCTTTCAAATCATGTAAACATAAACAACCGGAAACATAATAGGAATGTAAATATTAACTTCAGGGTCGTTGTCTTTTTCGTGCCATCAGTCTCTGTTGTAAGAGATTTTGCATATTCGCCTTTTCACGTTTCTCTTGTTTTCGTTGTCGCTTTCTCTCACGTTTCTGTTCCGCCTCCATTTCATCAAATTGTGCATCTACATCTTGCATTGCTTGACGCAAACCTTCGAATACAATATTGCAGTAAAGTAATTCATTGGCGGCATAGACAACGCAGGAGGAAATACGATCATAACCAGTGGTGGAATTCAATTTTTTGTCAGCCGGTTCCTTCACAAAAGTTAATTTTTTCAGCCGGTTCTATCACAAACAGAACATTGACAGTAACCAGTGATGCTAACCGGTTTGCTGATCTCATAAAATTCTGTGAGACGATTCTATAGAACCGGTGCGAACCGGCTGAATCCCACCACTGATCATAACTATGTTGCAATACAGAAATCGGCTTCGATTGCGTGTTTGTAACGCGTTTTTTTTCAAATCAAAGCAGATTCACCGGCACTCACTCGAAAAGTACTGACCCTTTAGCGAAGTTACAGGCGGCCAATGAAGTGCAAAAGCTACTACAGGATTATTACCGTACATTAAGCGTTAGAAAGCACCGATTGAAGCGAGACTTGAAACAGCCAAAACAACCGGGAAACAACTATGGGCAATAAATTCCACATAGCAGAAGTTATTGGTGGAAAATTTTTTATCATAATAGTTTTATTTTGTCGGGTGGGTAGACTGACGGTAAACGGATGAGAGCTCACAGCCAACAAATATGACAAGGACGTATTATTAAATTGTACATATGAAGTATCCGTTCACGGGACAAATATCGACGAGCTTAGAAAAATGATCAAACATTCATTGACACATTTCGAGACGCCATATATTCATTCCAAATCAACCGCAATCGGAGACCCAGTCTAGTTTTAAACGGTGCTATTTATCGGACTTGGCATTGAGACAAGCATCGAGTTGCGTTGTCAGCACAAATAAGTCAATGACAAATAAGATTGTTCAGAAACTTATTGATGATATCCTCAACAATGCAGGCCCACGAATTGAACCCTGATGAATTACAAAAGTGATTGAGTATGTTCGGGTTTCGCTTTGGGACTCGCAGACTAGGTAATTTGCAATCTCAATAAATTGCCATTGCATGGTTTTCATTGTAATAAGGGAAAGTGGGTATGAATATGATGATTCCTAGTTAATACCTGTACGTATTTGGTTGATTCGGGGTTCTCGAGTGAAGATATAGTTAGCGCATTTGTGCAATCTCCAGATCTCTCTAAATTGTTTTATGCCCCTACTTCAAAGTATGCTCTTTACTAGCAGTCACTAATAAGTGTGGGGTTACTATTTATGGGAATACCGGAATCTTGGTTAATGTGGGGTGCATGTGAGTTAAACCCCGACTATCTATCATATCATGCAACACCAACATTGTTAAGACCATGTTAGGTCATAGAGCCCATGTGCTCAATAGCAAGACAAACAATCGAAAAACTCACCTCCGCCGCCTCCCATGATTGTCTGCATCGCTGTAGCTGCCTTCGCTCGTTTTCTGGTTCCAAATGTCACATCGTTAACTTTATCATTGAAAGCTTCTTTCTTGCCAGTGATGCGTAACATCGCATTTCCAATATTTGCTGCTCCCTCTGCGCCACCGATAACTGCTCCGGCCATTCCAAGTCCTTTTCCAACTTTTGCCATTTTCCCCATCTTTCCTCCTTTCATTTTACCCATTCCTCCTCCACCACCCATTTTACCACCACCTCCTCCTCTCATACCCCCACCCATCTTCCTACCGCCTCCTTTCATGCCTCCCCTCATTTTACCACCGCCTTTCATTTTTGGGCCTTTCATTTTTCTCATCTTTGGTTTTTTGAAGCCTTTCATTTTACCCATTTTTGGTTTTTTCATACCTCTCATTTTCCCCATTTTAGGTTTTTTAAACCCCTTCATCTTGCCCATTTTAGGCTTTTTAAATCCTTTCATTTTTCCCATTTTAGGCTTTTTGAAACCCTTCATTTTGCCCATTTTTGGCTTCTTGAAACCCTTCATTTTTCCCATTTTAGGCTTCTTAAATCCTTTCATTTTGCCCATTTTAGGCTTTTTCATTTTGCCGAGTTTGGGTTTTTTCATTTTAGGCTTCTTCATTTTGCCAAGTTTGGGTTTTTTCATTTTAGGTTTTTTCATTTTCCCCAATTTCGGTTTTTTACCCTTTCCAAGTTTCGGCTTCTTGCTTTTTCCCAATTTCGGCTTTTTCATTTTACCCGCTTTCCCTTTTGGCTTGGCAGATTTTGGAGCTTTTTTGGGTTTTGCCTTCGGAGTTTTGCCCTTGTCTTTTTTCGTCGGTTTGGCTTTTTTGGATGGTTTGTCCTTTATTTTGTCTGATTTCCCACCCTTTGTCTTCTTTCCACTTTTATCTAAAAAATGAATTTTTATCTTCAATACTTAAAAACTTTAAATATCATATTAGAAATAAACTTGGCGGCAGGCTGAATCTTGCCTAAAATATAGAGAGTATTAAGCTATCTTGAATCCACTTCTCGTATATTTACATGAAGATGAATTCAAGAGCAAAACTTTACAAAAAAAATTTGTTAGTGTGCAATAACACTTATGTAGCATATAGGCCTTCGTGATTCACGTTAAAGGATCCACTAGCCTAAAATCATTAACGAAAATAGATAAATAGTCTTGGGTGAATTCAAGTTATTTCATCATCTATTTACCTGTCTTTTGTTTCTTCTCGGGCTTGTCTTTTTTCGGTTTGTCTTTCTTATTTTTTTTCTTGTCAGTTTTTTGTTTATTTTTGTCTTTCGTTTTAGTCTTGTCTTTATCTTTCTTTTCCTTGGTCTTCTCAGCCTTGTCCTTCCCTTTTCCTTTTTTATTTTTCTCCTTACTTTCTTTTTTATTTTTATCTTTCCCCTTTTTATCTTTTTCTTTTTTATCCTTTCCCTTGGTATCCTTTTCCTTTTTATCCTTCTTATTCTTCTTATCTTTTTCTTTCTTTTCCTTTTTCTTATCCTTCTCCTTCTTCTTATCTTTTTCTTTTTTTTCTTTATTCTTCTTTTTGTCTTTTTTCTATTAAAATATTCAAGTTTCAACTAACAAAAAAACGAGCACTGAATTGCGCTATAGTATTAAAAACGGAAGCTCGAGTTAGTCGGAAAGCATACTTTTTCATTTTCTTCGCCTCCCATATCATCTCCTCCGTCATCATCGTCGCCACCTCCGTCATCATCATCATCATCATCGTCACCTCCAAAGTCATCAAAGCCACCAAATCCACCATCACTATCCTATTACAGAACAAAAATACAATTCTCCCTACTTTGGACTTTTTCTGAACTTGTAGGATATTCCGTATGAAAATATTTATACCATCATTTGAGTGTTAACCAATATTGTATACATGGCCAACTTATCCAGCAGTATATTGTTAGTCGTGATGTCAGACCTTCCAAATCGGGTTTGTAGTCGACTTGGAATTGACCCAACAAGTCTTTTTATTTTAAGACTTGATTTTATATGTTATCAGTTTTGTAGAACAAATCAATCTCCAGAAATAGAACAATCTTACATAACTGAAATCGAAAGTTATGCGGTCAGGTACAAAATATAACAAATAATAGCATGCCTTGTTTTTATACTAAAGGCTAGAATTTATCTAAACTAAAATACGAACCTCATTATCTTGATTTCTTCTATTTGCAACTGCGCCAAACAAGTTTCCCAATAGGCCTCCACTTCCTCCCGATCCTGAATATGATCGACTTTCTCGATGTCTGTGATCATCTGCATAATGATGCCTTTTACTATGCCTTTGTGAATAATAGTAAAAATTATATTAAAATGTATATTTATGGCGCTAAAAAGTTTGAAAAACCTATTCACAGTCATTGGCGTATTAGCATGTTAAGCGCTCAATACATGGTAAATTCATCCCGAAAGTTGGAGCATTTATGAACAAAGTAAATTATTCTGCCCCTAACTTTTATTGTTATATTATTGAACACTACCCAGTTCTCACATACGATACAAATAAAATTGGTTGTATTCCACGGAGATGTTTCTATAAAAATCATATTTCTATAAAAAAATTGGAAAGGCTTCCGCACGAGATCAAACTCCAGTCGATCATCAAAAGATTTTCTCAATAGTCTCATAATTTCGTGTCACTGTTTCTACCAAATTACCTGTGCCTGTGAGATCTGGTTGAATAACTATCTGAATAAACAGAATTTTCATCCTTTGTCTGTCTTTTCTCATGTTGTAACTTGGTTTGAGTAGTATGTCGCTTTTCCTTCTTTGCTTTCCGAACTGTCAATAAATAAGATACTACATCCAAAAACATAACAAATACTTGCATTCCTTTGGGTGACTAAAAAAGTTCAACATGACAACTAACTAAATATAATTGGTGCTTATTACTATCCGCGCGCCAACTTGTCCACAACTACGGCACTCTTGAGATCGAATTAAAATGCCACATCGTACAGAATAAGCTGAATTTGATTTACCCAACAGATTACTAAACTGTGCATTTGCCGTAATACATAGTACTTCATTTACTTATCTACCTTTTTTTTCTTCAACTTCTTCGTATGATGTTGTATGTCCAGACGACGACTGTGGAGTAAAGCACAAAAAAGTTTTTAGTATTATTTCCGTCATATTTCGGTTAAAAATATCTGATGATTATCATTTACCAATTTTTCAGTCATGTCCCCTGGTTGGTTTTTCTTTGGCATCAGCAAAAACATCGATGAATGATCTGGCGGCATATTGTCAATGTCTGCTTTCTTGTTACCTTTCTTTTTCTTAGCAGTTTTCTTCTTAGGTTTTGGCTGACTATCAACAGCTTCGCTACCAAAAGGCAGAATAATATTCCGGTAAATAAATGATGCACCCACCTACCTTAGTGGTTCAAAGTTCGCTGAAGAACAACTTATATAGATTCGTGCACAGCATAAGTTGGGAATAATTTAAAAATGAGATAGCAAAGCTCACTTGGAATAAGCCTTGCTTGAACCTAATTCAGATCCCGACCGATGCGCATCTCTGGCAGCCTTTTTCCTATTTGCAGGTCTAGGAAACTCATATGCATAATGAAAATCAGGCGTATCATCTGGAAAGACAAAGTTTTGCCAGTTTAATTGAAGAAAGTATCACAAGTGTACATTACGACAGAAGTAGAAGTTCAATAGTCGTATATTTGATCTAGTATTTATATTGTATTATCGAAAAATTCTCGCAAAATAAATACTGCCTGTTGTCGTATGTTACATGTTGGAGGATAAATTTAATTTGGTATTATTAAAATTGTCAAACAAAGAATAGTTGCAAATGCCCATTTCGATTCCGTATAACATCACGAGAACTTTTGTATCTCGTCGTGAAAACTCACCATCCGAGTCGCCAACGTGTAATATCTCGTGAAATTTCATGATTAATTTTTCGTCACCAAAATATGGATTCTCTACCGATCCATCATTCAATGCACGATCCTCCATCAAGCACGCAAATATTGTTCTGTAACAGAGGGTATTCCAAAGGGGAAAATTAACTTTGAAAATCTTTTAAATATATATCAATAAAAAGCATAAAAGTTTTTTACATAGAACTTACCCGACGGCTGCATTGAATAAAGAGAGAAATATATGGGCAACAACAAATGAAATTGCAGCACTCATTGCGAGCGGATATCCGTAAATAAAAACTCCTTCTTTATTTCTCAAGAATAAAAAACCAAACGGTAAAACAACGATTACAACAGACAACTTCCCAAGAAATAGGGAAAAACTTGAAATAGCACCAAGACCTTTGAGTTTCTGAAAAAACAAACGCACTGAATAAAAACAAGAATACAATTCACAGACGTGAACAAATAGAGTATGTTATTCACGGTTCTTTTTCAGACCGATTTTTACTATTGTCGTGAACTTAATATGTGTATAAAATGATACTCAAATTTGGAAGTTACAAATTACAATCTACAGTATAGCATACCAATATATTCTCGTTAAGATCTGACAATGATAACATACATTGTCGTCAGATGAGGTTAAATAGCGTCATCAGATGTACATTAACTAGTCTTGTGATAATGACATGATTTTGTATTTTCTGTCTATATAAACGTACCGGGTCTTTCACTAGCATATCCCGGACGTCAAATCCAGCTTGTATAAAAGACGATCCTTTCAATGCAACAATACTGAAATTTATATCACTTATGTAAATCAACAAGTTGTTCAGGACATAAAAGCAAGGAGAAAATAATTGAGCGACGAAACGTATATATTTGACAGGAATCTCCAAACTTTGAGGTGGCTTTGGCTGCGTCTAAAATGAACAACCCAAAGGGTGAAAGTAATTTAAACAATCAAATGTTTCCTAATTTATCAGCTCAAATACCTGACTTGCAGAGGAGTGCTTTGAGTATTTCGTGTTGGCGGAATTTTTGGAATATTTGCTATTTACTTCAGCTTCTCCACGGTCAGAATAATATGGCTCCTCCTCTGGTCCTTTGGAAGCCGCCGGAACGTTATCACCTGAAATGCTTTTCTTCGAAGTTTGGTCTTTGCCCTTTTCGTAATCATATTGGACGCTATATGGTTTCCCATAATAATCAGAATAAGGTTGTGAATCATCGATGGGTTGTGGCTCATCCCCGCCACTCAGTAATGCCCGATTTAACCGTGACTGAAGAAAACTGAAAAAGAGTGGTATATACATATGGTGATAGATATGTATGTATATATATTTATTGTGTATTAAAATTCCCTTTTCTTTATTAGATGCTTAATTAGATTATTGTCTGAAGAAATCTTACACCTATACTTGTTATTTCGTGGAAAGATATATATTCAGGTACTAAAACGTCTATTCTGGGTATTATATTTGTTTACGACAGGGGTCGGCAATCTTTTGTCGCTCGCGGGCCAAAAAAGGATTGTAAGTCAGTGGCGGGCCGCACATATTTTCAGAAAGTTGAAAACCGAACGAATGATACTTTTTATATTAAAGAACAAGCAGTGATACATCTCTCGAATAGAATATACATTTATTTCCTCATTGCATCTCATAAAATTCCATTCGAATATTTGCGGCGTCATTAAACTTAGTATAAACTTTTCTGCGTTTTCTCGTCATTTGTCTAATTATAATTAAATGCTCATCAAACGAGTAATTGTAAATTTTATACTTAAATTATAATATAATTTAGTCCACACGTGTCGCTCAATAAATTCTGTTACTTAATGAATATTATCGTCAAACCAGGTATTTTGTTACTATAATTAAGTGAAGCGTCGCGGGTCGGGATATATCACTCCGCGGGTTGGACCCAGCCCGCGGGCCGTAGGTTGCCGACCTCTGGTTTACGACATGCCTGATAATAATATGCAAATATCCGAATATCAAATTACGAGAGAGTTAACCTGAACGGAGCTCTCATCCATCCCAGGAATCCGACTAATAAACCACCAGCGGCGGCAGATCCCAAGTGGCATCGCAGCAATCGAGAACTTCCTATTCTTAATGGTCTGTCCAGATCTTCTTTGTCTTTTATAAAATACCAGCTTGATATAGCAGAACACGCAATCAGCGTTTGACATGCCATAATGAAGTTGAAAAGCCAGGCAAATGCTAAAAACTCAAAAAGAAGTACCCAGTTTGTGTACACAAGATCCTCCTCTATCACAGCGCGTGGGAATTTGTAGATGGTATCTTCAACAATACTTATATCGTCTTTGAACACAGCAGTCAGTAAATTTACCGTGTAGAGAAATAGACCTGCTGCAAAACTGACTGAACATAAGGTTACAACAGGTAGGATGTAGATCCATCGAACTTTTATCATGGCTCGAATCGCTATACTAAAAAGAGCAGCCGCTGCATCCATGTTGCGCTTGCCGACAAGACAACAGATAAAAGTGAGAAATAGTGTGAAAAAAGTCACATAAATTGAAGCGTCACGGAAAACAATAGAATACCCTGCTTGTGGAACAGAGTTTCGGGAAATAGTTTGTTTTGGACTTTGAAGGTGGTGAGGTTTCCATTGGTTCCCCGTCAAATTTCCATGTGCAAAATCACTGTTCATTATGTCGCTTTCTCCTGCGGAATAGAGTACCGTTGCGGAGTCGTTAGCGCTAATACCGGAATACATATACCACATACAAATAGAAGATATTAAACCCACGAATGTAAATGAAGAAAAGCTAAACCAACATATAGTATCTGAGGCGCTTTGTATGACACAGATAAAAATCATGGTACATCCAGCAGCAATCAGTGTCATCCAGGTTAGTTCTGCGGCACAAGTGCCACAATCGGCGATGACGTTATGAACCCAATGCGTAGAATAAAGGCTGAGCATCTTGTTCTGTTTTTCAACTGATATGGATTCAGAAACGACGTCCGGTACGCACCGAGAGTTTCGTTCTGAGAAGGAGAGTGTTCTCATTCTCACCGTATTCAATTCTCTTTCTGCAGATCTACAAAGCAAATCATTTATTACGTTTGGATATATAGATTTTATTCCAAGATATTCCCAGCAATCAAATGTTCTTGTAATAAGAGGACAATGCTCAACACATATTGATGTAGTAAACGGTATTTCAGACATCGCAACGGCGTCACCAGAGGTTAAGACAGACGAACGACTGAGAAAATCGAAAATAAGCAATTTGTCAAATTTAGTCATATCTCTTCCTGAAAATACAGATCCCGTAATGGGCAGATTTTCGTATCCACATATATTTCCCCACGAGTCAATTCCCTGAAAATAAACTTCAGGTTTTCCGTAGGCTATAGCTCGGTTCATTCCAGCCATCATACCTAATAAAACTGTTATGAATAAAACAAGTGAAGGCATGTCCGTTACTGTTCGATTTTCTGCTTCTGGAAGATCGAAGTCTTTAAAATCTGGGTCCTCTTCGGAGTTGAAAAACGTCAAGCAGTTCATAAAAAAGCCTTGCCATCCTTGCCCACAGGTCACTATTTTTGTCACAACGGCAAAAGCCTTTTTAGCCCATTCTACGATACCAGCAATGCAAAGACAAACTACACCAATGCACTGCAAAATACAAGACACAGCCTCTGCTACAGCGACAGCCATTTTTGGCTGATCTTACTCAAGTGGAACGTAGCGTTTCAACTGGCTGTCACTGAGCTCTCCCGGAAGCGGCATAAAATCTTTCTTACGTAGTCATATTTTTTCAAAATGTTTTATGATTCAGGGTATATTAAAAGTATCAAATAAGGTAAATAAATTATAGTGACGTCATAATTGCTCGAAAATAGATATAATATTTTGAGTTCCATGTTTAAACAAACTTGTGGCGCATATGAGACAACAGTTGGTAAATTAAGTAACCATACAAACAAACACGTAACTTATTTAAATGGTATTTTTGCTTCAAATTAAATATAATTGTTGGACACGTTTAGTGGCGATAACGATCGTTTCAATATTATGTTGTTCTTGTTCTTTGACACGTTTTTAAAAAATCGCTTTTCTCTTCGAATACGGGACCAATTGCTTTGAAATTTCCAGTGGTTAAAGATTAATTTCTTCGCTAGAAGGCTATTACTTTTATTTATTTCAAAATTTTGCGTGAATTCTATGAAATTTGATATTTCGTCTAAAATTTTGCTGTATTATTTTTTATCCATGGGAACACGGATTTTAGTCAGTGTCATGACTGGCTGTACGTTTTGATTCTGCAAAATTCTTGCTACTGGAAATTCAGAACTTTTTTGAGGGTACCGGTAGCGTCAAAGGTACCGGTAAAGACTGATTCGCTCTGGTCCAACGTGTCCATATATTTGTGCGTAGCTCTCTTGTTTTTGTTATATCATTGAATATGATATTTCCAAGTAGGCTAATACTTGCAGAACAAATAAAAATAGAACTGGAATTTGTTTAGACATTTCTCGGGAGACCACGTCGGTTGGAGAATGTCTAACAAGTTGTCGCTTCAGAATCTCTTTATCCGGCCGTCGTTTACGTGAATGAACCAACTTGTGGCGCTGGATAGCCCTGGTTTCCACATAAATGTTTTAAATGAAACATGATACGCCTCGTGTGTATACGCAGCTTCTTTTTGTTATATTATTCTCACGTGAAATCACCTAATTGATAGCAAAACAATAGGTATTGTGAGACCGAACAACTCTATTTATACATTCAAGACAAATAGGGATTTCTGTTTAGTGGTGACTTGAGTAAAATTAGTCGAAAATGAGCAGGCAGAAATATCATACATACAAAACTGAGATCATATCAAAGCGTACTAATATTCGGAACTCCATTATTGCATCATAAAGTTCCATTTTCTATGTGAGAAACTTCATGTCTCCAAAAGTGTGGAGCGAGGCTTGTCGAAGCAAAATAATAGTGACTTCACGTTGAAATCTTAATAAGCATTGATATTGTGGCTCGGATATAAAATATAATAAAAGATACGACGTTTTTGACATATGTATCTCGAATTTGTCCCATACTCATGGATACAAGTAAATATTTTTCAATTCTTAGTAAAATGAAATATTGAATAAATATATTGTTGTTGGACGGGGTTTATGGTTATGGTTATGGGAGACAATATTTATGCAAACGTTGATGCTGGTATGGTTACGACTGGATTTTCATCCATCGGACAAGGTAGACAAGAACCTTACGTTGCCGGACATGTTTATGAAAACACGTTATCTGCGGGTAAATATTAACTATTCAATTGTATATATATATATATTGATGTATTTCTAGGAATAAAGCAATTCTTTTTGTATTTTTTTATACTAATGAGGTAAACCATATGAAAATGCACGATGTCAAGATCCACCAAAAAAGAAAAGACGTTGGAGATCTTTGGCTCTAACAATTGTCATTGTATTGTTGGTGGCATCCACTATTTGTTCTCTTGTGCTGTCAGCCTGGGTAAGATATTGAATCAGAACTATGTGATATTAAAGTACATATTTTAGTCGCAGTTTTGATTTTTCGAGTACTAGTTTTCTCGTGTGTAATGCTTAAATAGACTTGTTTGTTGTATCCATGAACATCTACTTCGCGGGATTAGTTTCGCCATGAAATGCGTGAAAATGTTTAAGCATTTTTATCGCGTTTTGCATATATCAAAGAAAAATTCCTTTGTTATTTTCAGGCTGTCGGAAGTTTGAAGAAAGAAATCATAAGTATGAACCGATTATGATTAATTATCTTATTTATAACTTACCTTATAACTATTTCGATGCCCATTCGAAAAAATGTTCTGGCGTTACCTTGTCACTTGGCCAATCAGACCAGTAAAAAATAACCTGACATAGTTGGCATTTCAAATATGTTCATAAAATAGATGGTCAAAACCTGGTGAACGATGATTTGCAGGTATCATAATAATTCAGGTTCTGTTGAGGATTACATAAATACAATACAGTACGTATAAAGACAATGTTTCTGCAGTGTAAAGTGGCGTCTTTAGGAATCAAATCCAGAGTTATCAATTTTCCTGGAATTTACAACAATTTAGACAAATACACGGACGGACACGCAAAAATATTGTGATTAAAATGGAAAAATACGTAGTACTAGAATCAAAATACAAAGTATTAAACTATACAGAAGTTCGTTAGTCTTTAAATTTGTAGCATGGCGTTGATTTGAATGTGAGCGCCGTCACGTGCGAAGAAAGTTTTATGTTGCCGAAAAACTGAATGAGTAATTCACATGTTTCAGATATCACCAATCTCAACTACAATGTTACAAATATGACACTGAATGAAACAGAAAACGGCCATGTTTCAGATATCACCAATCTCAACTACAATGTTACAAATATGACACTGAATGAAACAGAAAGCGGCCAAGAACTGGACGCCCTAACAAATCAACTTCATTCTTTACGATCTCAAATTTTAAATTTGCAAAACGGTTTCACGCGAGTAAGACTTCAAAGTGGTTGGTCAAATCAAGGTCGTGTAGAAATTCTTCACAACGGCACATGGGGAACAATTTGTGACGAAGGTTGGGATAATACTGACGCGAGTGTAGTATGTCGCATGCTTGGATACGATCATGCCTACGCGTACTGCTGTGCAATACACGGCGAAGGAAGTGGACCCATATGGCTTTCCGGGATAGATTGTGATGGAACCGAGGATAACATTGCATCATGTAAAAATCTTGGCTGGGGTAATCATTCCTCATGCACCCATAATAATGACGCATCTGTATACTGTATTTAAACTGAACCAACTCGAGTTTCGTGGTTGATTAATATCTTGGAGTCAATTTCTAACAGATACAACGTGGATGAGGAAAAGTTTCCTAAATAACACTGATTATTCAACCAGCCGTTATTAGGTAATGACACCAAAACCTGGTTCAATTCTCTAGGATTTTGGATCGTTTGTAACAGCGGCATAACCTACTTCCAAGTCCCAATGGCTGACACTATTGGTTTAACCGTGAATATATACTAAGACGTTTAACCGTAAATATGGTTTAACAAAACGTTGTCGTCAGGAGAATATAAATCGATATATACACTGAGCTATTTTGACATGCTTGGAATCAAATATCTACAAAATCATTTAATGGAATGTGTCAATTTGATCTGCTGATGTAAATAACGGTTTTCAACTTTTTTGCTGAAACGAAACATCAGTGATTCCAGAGGATTGAGGAACCACTGTGCAATAGTTAATTGCGTTTTTTTTATTTGTATCCTATTGTATAAATTATATGAACGCAAACAAAGAGGCCACAAATGAACTTTGGAATGCAGCAAGTATAATATTTGTGACAAATCGAGATAATTTTATCTGTGATATTGGGTGTCAACAAATTAGTTATAACCAATATCGCAGACCGGTAATCAATTTTCATTGGGGGATATTGCTCGATTTTGCTTCGGAATTAAATTACACTTGGACTCGGAGTCGCGAGAGTGAGTCAACCCAAATCTGACAACTATTGGTTATGTAATAATTCAACTAGCTTTTCCACTGTATTTTACAGCAATGCTCGAAATTGCTTTAAGAAAGTCAACAACACAGCTAGTCACGGCTCGTACATTGGCTGACCTTATTCGGTGAGATCATATCTCCGTTTCAAATAAACCAGGGGTACCTGCGGCCATAAGAAATAAAAATCTGCGGACGTGCTGGTGTGTGTTTTAGCCGCAATATAAGCATACAAACGTAAAAAGTGGAGAAAAGTTTTTTACGTTAGAATGGGTGCTGGGATTTTCATGGAAAACACTTTAACCGTTAACACAAATACAGTTTTTGATATTCTTTTAAATCAAACGCTACGGGAGATAAATTTGCGATTACGTAATCATTTCTAAAGAAATTGTACATTATAAAGATGATTTGTATCTGAGATGTCAGTTAACGGTTAAAATAAATCGTAACCGTTAACCATCTAAAATCATTTAACCGGTTAACCATTCCCAGCCCTAGACTGATGGGTTTCTTCATGATCGTAATGCGACCAGCCAAAAGTTTCTGCATTCGTGAACTGAACATTATTCTCCAGCTTAGGGGAATTTACCTCGGGGTCGTTGTCGCCGAAATACATTAATTAGGTAAGTTAAATAATTAAATTAAGTATTTGGTTTTAAATTACATGACTTGAAGGTGCACTGTTGCGAAAATACATTAACTCAAAAGCCCGTTCTCATCGGACTACCTTACAGCCAATGTAGATAGCAGTTTGCCAAGTAATCAAATCATCTCATAAGCCCTACTTGCCTACAGAGATAATACGAAATTTTAACCAACTTAAACAATAAAATCAGTCAGCCATTTTATGGGGGTCAAAGTGTACAATACAGTACCACGGTACGTTACCATGGCCACGCTGTGACGCGCAATGTTGGAGATGAATGGAAATGAGGCATGTAAATCGAGGTTTGGCGTTTTGTTCTTTGATCTGTTGATACAGTAACATAGTGTGTATATCCCTAAACATTTTTATTTAATAATAGGGTTGGGCTAAATTTCAACTGTGGTAAACACAAAACAAGTAGGTTGGAATGGTTTAAAATTGACATTACAGTACTACTGCACAAACAGAAGTTGCTGAATTACAGAATTAGGTGAGATATTCGTAAATTGCGGTGACTTAGTCCGTCAAGGATGATCAAATGTCAATATTTGTTATATACTTAATTTAGCGGTCATTTGAAGTAAGTTTTTTTCGATTTCTGATATCCGAATATATTGATAAGATATTTTACATAACACTCTCGTGTCTCGGGGCATTTTTGCAAGTTTTCAGCAATATTCTGACTAATAGAAACCGGCATCTTTGAATGTTTCATAAAAGGTAGCATAAAACGATCTTATTATCATTTTTAAGCTCGACCTTGTTTACCTTTGGACATCACAAATATTTAAATTGTCATTTAATCAGGCATTTTGTTTAGTGTTGAACCATTTATCAAATACTTGTTATTATTTGTATCAACCAATACCATTTTTTTGATAAATAAAAATGCTTACAATCCTAATGAGACCAGTTAATTTCATTCTAGAATATGCTTCATAAGTGTAAGCATTTCTTCATAGCGTTGTTGTAGAATTTATAAAAATATCATGTTGGTTTCTTAAAGCCAAATTCTTGTGACATCTTTTTTTTTTAATTCACACGAGCCTGAAATTTTTACTGAATTCTGTTGATTTTAATTAAGAAAATTTAATTATTACTCAATTACTCAATAATTTTTCCAGGGGTATTACATATATATTATGTCCATGTAGTTTGCATATTGTGCTACAATCGAGGCTCAGTGCCAAAATAAAATGGCCTCTGAGAAAGAAACTATTACAATTAATGGCCAGGAAATCCACAAGGATGAAAAGATTCTGGTTGAACGCGGTGGCAAATTTGAATTGGTGAGTGCCTCAAAGCTTAAAGCATTGATGCCTTCAGTTGTAGATGGAAAACCAAAGGACAAAAAGGCGAAAAAGAAGCCTAAAATTGCAGAAGCTGGTAAAAGAAGCAAAACACCACCTCCACCACAATCCAAAGAAGCAAAATCAAAGTCCAAAAAAGCAACACCTCATTCAGCTCCAGTGAAATCAAGCAAACCAACAAGAAATAAAACAAGCACAATCGATTATCAGTCAATAAAGAGTCCGTATGCCATGTCTCCAGAAATGAAAAAGATGATGCGAAAACAGCAACAAGCGAAAGAAGAAAAACAAAGGGAGGAAGAAGAACAAGTACGACTTGAAGAAGAGGAAGCTCGGAAAACAGCAGAATTAGCATGGAAAGCTTGGCTTGAAAATAAGAACGAAGAAATGAAGAAACAAAAATCAAGGAGAAGTAGTGGTGATGCGGAATCACTTGCTCAGCAAAAACAGGAAGCAGTAAAAGCATACAAATCATGGTTACATACTAAACAAAAACAACTACGGAAAGAACGACTCCACACGCAACAACTACAAATTGAGCAGGATGAAGGGTTTTACTTGCGTGATCGTAAAGACTGTAACCGAGCTTTCCATGCTTGGGTTAAAAGTAAGTCAAAAGCAATTCTGAAGGAAAGAGAAGATGCAGAAAGGGCACGAAAACAGACAATAACAGAAGCAAGACGTGCAAAACGCACTCAAGATTTACTGAAATCTATTCAGGAATCACAGCAAATGAGATACGTAGAATATTACGGATATCGATTTTGACATTTTAAACTTTGAGTAATTACTCCGCTCAAATAATTGTTTGAAAAACTGAAAATTGCACTATTGATCCATCCAATGTAACAATTCAGCACTGTGATTTAGACACCAAAATGCAATGCAATCACAATGCAAAGTAATAATATATACTATTAGATGTGAAGATTATTAGTTTTTAAGAGACCAGAGATGACAAAAAATAAAGATTTTTGAATATCTGTCAAAATAATTTGTGTTTAGCAATGAAATGCAAAAATTATAATATACTCATGGACTAAATTTTAAATAAGAAAAAAAGTTAAAAACCTCCATTACACATCAATTCAACTCAAATTTACTGATTTTATATCTCTTCAATGAGTTTTCTCTGAGCTTTTATAAAACACACAATTGTAGTACAAGAAGCCTTTACTGCTGGTTCATCAATCACTCAGTGGTGATTTACCATGTACAGAGAAACTACAGATGCTGTTTGACCTTTTTCATTCACCATGGTTTCTATAATCACTCCACAGCTATCACCTGAATTTGTATTAAAATGTGTCTTCATGATTTACCACTGTTTTCCATAATTTTAAAAAATTGTGCCTTTACAATATGCAGCTCTTTGAAACATACATAATATTCCACACTACCTATGCTCGTTCGTTGCTATTTCTGGTTTTCATTCTCTGTCAAAGGTTATATACTGAAACCCTTACAGTATTAATGCAATTTTGTCAATGTTATTCGACTGATAACTTGACATGCTTAACGAAAATAGTACTGAGAGTTAGCCTCTACATGACAGCCGACAGATAAGTTTACTATCTAGTACCTCGCGTTCCTGACTAATTTTTACTGTAATAATGAATAGCATTTTGCTGACAGACCTTTCTGGTACATTGTAAACTTCACTGAAATCACTGAAAAACTCGATTCTGATGGCTGATCAGCGATATTTGTGTATATATATTTTTTGTGAATCAGAATATATGTTGCTGGCAATATTCATTTGGTTGTATTAGATTGTACCTTATAAATGCACTATTATGTTGTCTGCAAGTCTTGTGAAAAAATGTAACTTTTGTGACCAATGTTGTCTACTGTTTTCTTTTTAGTGTATAAGAAAATAATCAATAGTAGGTCAACTAAAATTAGACACCGTACCAGTTGCAGTGGGTTATAATCGCCCATTTTCCTAATCGGTTTCAATAATCAGCATCAAGTCCGATTAAATATCCCCAATCTAACCAAGGCTGGTTGACTCAAAAGAAAAACAAAAACATTGAAATTTCAATTTCCTCACATGGGACTGTACTAGTTAATGTTGCAAAGAGAGTGATTCAAAGTCAAAATTGTAGTCAGAAAATCTTAAAACAAATAACCAGATTTCTGCTTACTTCTGAAGTTCTGAGATCTAATAAAACTTGAAAGCGTAACACAACAAAATTATACAATTCATCTGGACATTTGCTCAGCAATCAGCAAAAGACAGTTTTGAGGCTGAGGTTTGAATTTCTTTGCGCATCTTTACATTCTCGTAACTCTAACAAACCCATTGAGTTTGTACACAGCCACATAGATAAATAAGACTTGGGTGTAACAAGGGGCAGACTTTATTACAACAAATGAAATAAAATGTTAAATTACCAGAATAATAATATTAAATGTACTTCGGATAGAAAAATACGTGCAAAAAATGTAAAAAAGCAAAGAATTTTGTGATCTAAAATTAGTTTGTAATCAAAAAATAACAACAATTACATAACAAGTATAGAGAAATATTTCATGATGATGTGTAAGTAGTAATAAGCCGTCCCATTTAATTTTTTACAACTTTTCATGGATTGAAATGATTAATTACAGCAAATGTATTCCCCTATTGATTGCTTGATATGAAGAAAATACAAAATTTCTTCAAGCAAAAAAATCATTCGAAGCGTCATATTCTTGACAACGATAATTTGGGTACTTATTCTAGCAACAGTTATAAGTTAGGCAAGTACGATACTGGCGTATGTAGGATCAGAAAATCATATTAAATCAGTACGAAAACTACATGAACATAAAGAGCGTTCCCTACAAATAATCGCTAGGTTTTATAATAGTTCAATAACAACCTGTACGAGAGGTAACCCACAGTTTATAAACCACAAATAGTAGTATGGATCATCGATACTAAAGGTGCAATTCATACATGGGTGTTGAACCTTTAAAATGGAAATAATAATGCTGATCTTGCTATCATGCATGGGTAGCCTGTTTTAAAGATCTCAAGTAAATGCCAGACTGACCAATGCAGTTTTTGACCTTCTTGATGAGATAGAAATATGAAACACTTTTTGATGTGAAACTAGAATATAATATAGTCAGTTTTGAGAATCAAAAAAGGAGATGCAGCCCAATCATTTTGCTTATTTCATGATTGCAAAAAAAGAGTGAATATTCTTTTATTTCAATTTTCTATTCAGGCTGATCAGGTAGCTTGTTTGTATGTTGTTAAATATGATAAAATTTTACTAATAATATTTCTGAAACGATACAGATTCATTTTGACCAAAAAATTCGTCAATTTCCAAAAAGCAATTTTAACCCAATTTAAAATTCTATAGCCCTGACCAGATATCTCATTGTGATGAATAGTTGAATCAATGTGAAAAATCAACATACAATTTCTTAATAGATCAGATTTTAAAATCTTTATAAATTAAACGGTGTAGAAGTCAAATTACACCAGAGAATAAAAAAATAAGTTCATATTAATGCAAGCACGCACTTGGCTGGAACACATACAGGTGACCAGGTTGTACAATTGCTATTCCTCTTGCTGCTTATTAGCATTTTACTGCATCCACAGGCCTCCCACTAGAAAAAAATACGCTGGGAACATAACTTAGATTGAATAATTAGGCATCTGCCATAATACTTCTACACCTATCTCCAAGTATAGTTGCTGCTATTAATATTATAAATGTGGTTTTGATTGGTTACCCATGACTGGGGATGTCTCTCGTGATTTGAACTAGGCATTTGAGTTTTGCCGCCAGGTGGGTAATTGAGGTTTTGTTGCTGAAAAAATGCAGCGTTCCCTCTGTGGTACGCATGCTGCAAGTCATTGGCTTGTGCAGCCTGTAATTGCTGTAAGGCTTGCAACTGTGAATGTTGTTGCACTAAGTTAGGAAAATTTCCACTCAAGCCTTGCATTTGCCCGGTGGCGCTGAGGTATGGATTTGCATCTGGGCCGAGGCTTTTTGCACTTGAATCAATGCCCTGAGCTGATTTCAAAATGTCGTTCATACCATAAGATAGGTGCGGTTGGACAAATGGACTAATTTGTTGTTCGGGTGGTCTATGCCCAATCATAGCATTGTCCATTGACACCCTACTTTGCGTCTGATTGTGTAAATGCCGACTCGACATTGCCAAGTTAGAGTTTTCAGGCATAGGGTTTGGGAACATGTTTCCATGCATGTCCGGTTGCTTCAAATTACTGTCTAAAGATCCAGAACGAGAGGCCACAAGTTGGTGTGGATGGCTTTGATGAGCGGCTGCTGATATCATATTCGAAGGTGCTGAAAATTTCTGCGTTACTTCATGTTTACGAGCGAGAGGATCACTTTTTGCATTAGATTGAAAATAGACATTAGGATCGAAATCAATGTCAGGTCTTATTGTCGTTGACATATCTAAATTATTTTGCGTAATCATATCGTGATTCAAGTTTGCTTGTAAAGCGTTTGGCATGTCTTGCTGCAACGATTGCTTGATTTCTTGGATAGCTGCATTTGATTCGAGGCTTAAAGTTTTTGCCACAGAATTTGCATTTTCTTCTGGAATCCACGATGCAGAAGAGCTGCTTCCAATATCCATTGGTATAGGCTCAACATGAGAGGAGTTATCACTGCCAGTTTCTTTTGTAACATCAGTGATATCGATCAGCTTCACAGGTGGAAGATCATCGGAAAACCACTGAAACACAAAGTTAAGTGTTAAAGATTTATGCATTTGGTATGTTGACTCATTTATATTCCATTCTTGGTTATATCTCGAGTGGTTAAGGACCAGGTAAGTCCAGCAGCACAAGGCCATTTTTTTTCCACTTGATGAGTATATTAGTATAACTATGTTGGCAGTAAAATTAGCCACACCCAGCAGTCATCCTAAGGATAGGATTTACATATTTATTCCAGGGAGAGGAAAGCCGTTAACATTGCTTAATTATATGGCGAACCACGGCCTCTCGTCTGGTTACCAGTTGATGTAGGATATGAGATTATTTAGTCAGTTATTTGTTTCGAATGCTTGGACTTGGTGGTGGAGGAAGCCAGAATCGACCAGTGGTTACGTTCACCACCAAACAGCGGCGAGGAGTCCAGCAATCCTCTCGAAAATACCCACGCAGGTTAATTGAAGTTGCGCAGGCGAGCGTATTCCTAGCGCTTAGCACAGTGCGCCACATTGTCGAATTTTAACATAAAAACAAACAATTGAAAAAAATAGTTCTAGTGAACTTAGTATGACGTCTCACCTTTATAATTTCATGTTGTGATTGTTCTCCGATTGCATGTTGTTCATTAAAAATTTTCGTTGCTATTTTCTCGTGAGTTTTCTTATATTCTGTATATTTTTCTTCATCTCCACATAATCTGAAAAAAGAACAATGATAATTTAGCAAATGACAATCTACAATTGTCAAATATCAGTGATTGTTAGAACCTTCGGACATCCCTCCTAACAACCTTCATGCCAGATATGTCTAGGGCATGTCTATAAAGTTTAACATTTGTCATAGAAAACTTTATTTAACACCTCATAAACCACCCAATTAACAATTTTTGTAGTTGTTGCTAATGAAAGAACAGCTATCAACTCACTTTCAAATTAGTTTAGAATGTTACAATATATGTTCAAAGTAAATATTATAATTCAAGATGATAAATACCATGATATAATATTCCATGATTCTCAAATTGAAGAGATGACATACCTGTATAAATCTCTCAGTAAAGCAGAACTCCACAGTTTAACACTAGTGTCTGGAATTTTCATTGCAAGCTGCATTGCTGGAACAACCATGTTGACACTTTCCTGTATTGAAGAAAACAAGGCAGACAACTTAGCCAAACCGAGTTTATAGACTCTTTTTACTTCTAACATGGCTTTGCTATTATAGTTCAAAAGAGCTGTAATCATAAGAAATAAATGAAATTGTTCATTTATTCATTGAATTAGTTTGGTGGTTCCCAAACTTCTTCAGTATCGTTACCCCTAAATCGAATCAGTAAGGCTCAATTATCCCTTTCGTAAAATTGCAGTAGTCATATCATTGTCACTTTTTCATTGACCAAAAATGGTGGTGATACCAACACTTATTGAATCCTCCTCCGATCAGACTTTTGCACTAGCTCGGCATTTTAGCTGTCAGCAAAGTATTGGTATCATGTCCCTACAAAGTGCGTGACCATATGACCAACCTCACTGACTGGATGCGAGCACCGAATATCCAGCTTTTCCACAGACTAGTCAAAATACAGTATTTCAAGAGAAATTGGTAAAACAGCAAACGTATGGATTACCGTCTAGAAATTGCCAAATTATCTTTGAGGTTAATTACCCCAGTTTGGGAACCACTGGATTAGGTAATTGAGAGAATTCTTCAAAACTATTAGTTTAAACCGTAACACCCCAGGTCCATCTTTGATTATAATGAGATAACAGTTATCAAATAAGCTGTAGGGCATATTACTAACCTGATGATTCCCAACTGAAAGATAAATATGTCCGAGTAAAACCAATGCACAAGCTGTTAATCGGTTTAGATCTTGCGCATTTGCCATTTTCAAGGTTTCACGAAGAAATCGTCTGAAAACATGAACAAGAAGTTTAGGATCATGGGTCATCTATGCAAATATCAACAAAACTGTATAATTCACTATTTAACTTTTTTATACTATATATACACAACACACAGCATGACTTGAGTTACTTACTTTGCATCGCTATAAATTGCTTGGAAAAATGAGAACATTCCTTTGACGAAAAAAGATGCTGCCTTCAGGTTTCTGCTTTTCAAAGCGACAGAATCTGGATTAATTTGACTCAAAATTTGCATGAGCTGAAAAAATAAAATGTTTTAATTGATGATTTTTTGTGATTGGTGCATTAGAAAAAGGAAATTTGTGACAAATATAATAGTTTTTTTGTGAATCGATTGTTTGATAAGGATAGACAGACACCTTAATTGACATTGTACTTATATAGTAAATTCTGGGCCGGACCATATTAAATAGTTTCATGGAAAGCTATAGGTCAGTGTTAGAGATGCTAGAGTTACCGACTTGAGGACTCTAGTAAGTCACTAAGTCGCCTAAATGGAATGATGCGAACTCGTCATCTTCAAACTGCCAGTGAGACTTGAGTCAGTGACTGACGAACTTCGAGAATTGGACTCGACTTGAGACTAGGATGACTTGTGACTCGACCAAGCTCACGACTCTCTACTCAACACAGCTAGATGCTAATTTTGAGATTTACGTTTTTTAACTTCAAGACAAGAATTCAAGACGTCTATCTTTGGAAAACAAATAGAGAGATTCCATACCTCTTGCTGTTTCGCTTGAGGAATTCGTCCATTATTAAGTTGAAAATTATGCATGTACACCATTGCTAAATTCAACATGTTCATTACAACTTGTTCATTGCTTACACTCTTCTTTAAAGCGATTTGTAAATGTTTTTCAGCGTCATCCAAGTAATTCATACTCATACAGTACATACCCTGAAATAAAAGTATATATGAAATTTTGAATCGACTTAAAACCTTTCTAGAAATATGCAGAATTCAGATCAAAACAACAAATCTTTAGCCAAAGACACCAAATTCTATTACGAGTTCGGGGACTGTCTGTGTTAGCCAAGTGAATATACCCCCTGCCTATAGGTTTCCCTTTTCACAACTTGATGTAAAGTAGGCGAACAAAATTAGGTACCTCCATATCTGGAGCGCCTTGAATTCAATGCGTTGTTCATGTCTTTGATTTCAAGGATTCCAGGAATTAGTACTACACAATGTCACCCTAGTTAGGTAGTCTACAATTATCACTAATACAGTAAAAACAGTAACATACAGTAATAAATATCTCACCAATAATGTATGCATCTGCATTGTGTGTTTCGTTATCGACGGGGTATTGGGATAAGTGACACACAACCTGCATCCTTCCGTTATCTTCTGCAATGCAATTTTCTTATCACACATAATGAGATGGCATTGTGCCATATGTTCAAGAAACATCAGCTCCAATTGTACGAGGAGAGAACTGGAATCTGAGGCTGCAAAACAAGAAGAAAATACTGGATAACCTATTCAATGCTGATTAATGCGACAAAGACAGAATATGTTAATACAACTGAATGTGGTGAATCCTCATAACTGAAATTCTTGGGGAAAACTTCGACCATAAATATTCTTGTTGTTATGGATTATTTTTCTAAAGTTAACCAAAATTAAGCGGGGCACCTGAGAAGCCAATTTCAACATTTTTTTTAAAATGCAATTTTGCGGCATTTGCAGTAAGACATAAATCTATACATATTTTCCAACACCATTTGCTCTATTCTTGAACAATTAACTGAAAACTGACTTTTCCTGGCTTGCTATCAATAATCCTTCCACCTGAAAATGCGTGCTTATATGCCGTGGATAACTTGATGAAAAATTCTTGATTTTTTTCTAAAATTTAAATGTCACTATATCGAATTCGAAATGTATTCAATCCGATCTGGGCATTGTTGGTTGTCAGTAACGAGAATTTATAAAAATGCAAATCTCCAGATTATAAAATACAAAACAATATGTATGAATTGCAAATTTCTCACAAATAAGAAATTCTGAAGAAGTATGATATGTATTGAAACATTTAAAACATGGGTGTGCAACCAGCGGCTTGCGAGCCAAATGCGGCTCACGAGGAAAAATTGTGCGGCCTGTGGAGAAGTGCCAATTTTCTATGATGTGTGGCCGCAAAACGAATTTTTCCTTCAGTTTAATCTGGTACGAGTGAGTAATTCTGATCCTTTTGCGTTGCAAAACCTATACCCGAGTACAAAATTATCATCTATGCCTATGACGTTAAATGCCCTAACAGTTAGTTTGTACAAAACGAACAGCGCATGTCATAAGATTAATAACCAAAATTGTTGTGCCTGCAAATGCCCGAGGTTTCACTCGGTTATTGGCATTCGGCCCTCCCGTATTAAAGTTTGCACCCTTGATTTGAAACCTGAAAAAATCATTACATACATACCTTTTAGCTTCCTTATTTGCGTCAAAGCCTTCTCTGTATACTTTTGAGCTTTATCCAGATATCCAGCCAGCAAGGAATAGGTAACTGTAACCAGGTACACCAAAATACACCTGCAAAAGGAAACACAAAATTATTTCTATCATAAACTGGTAAATGAACAAAATTTTTATAATTTCGAAACAGTTTCAACCAACATCGTCTTTAGCATATATTTATTGATATAAGAGCGGAGCAAAAATAGAAAGTATGAATAGTCATGATGGAAACAAAAAAGCAATAGACTGACTAAGCATCCAGTAGAAAAGGGGTGTGGGTTGGGGTCTGAACCCCCCTTTTTGATATGTGAAAAAAACGCATTTTTCTGTATCATACACTACAATTTTTCGCAGCTTGAAAAGCTTCTTAGACCCTCAAGACTTTTGAAAACCCGCTAGCTGTTATGGTCTAACTTGGAAATTAGACGTGGCCCTTGTCCTCAACAGACAAGTGAGGAATTATTGCACAGGTCAAAGAACTTCAAAAAGTCCAAAATGTTTTTTTGAGTTAACAGCTGAAGTAGAAAGCAAAATATGTCTGTAAATGTAATCTGTTAAATGGCTAACGGGGGTTTAAATTTGTTTGGACTATTACAAGATACAAACAAACAAAATTGTTTTGTGGTAAAGCAGGAAGGATTCATGATACGTACATGTGATCTCTTGGTAACCAGGAAAAGGCATCTGTGCTTGTTAATATTTTCATCATATCTTCAACCTCGAGAAGTTCTTTCAGATGACCTGAAATAGTTTAAAAGGGTATCATCATTTTTTACAGTCATATTTTAAATATTCTAAATCAATGGTGAGTAACAGGTGGCTCATGAATCATAACCCGCCTCGGCAAGCCATTCAGTATGGCCCTTGCCCAGTGTATTTATTACTGTAAGGCTAATCTAGGCTAGGCTAGCCGCTTCTCCTGCCTTTCCTGCTAAGATTTTTAGGTGTGGCCTGGCTTGATGTCTGAAGTTGGTTATTTGGCCCACCGACAAAAAATGTTGCACACCCCTATTCGAAATTATTCCATTAACTTGAAAAATCAGGATGTTTGACATAAATCATGACATCCTAATGATTGAAAATGGGAGTCGGAGTTTCAGACTTTCACTTGTAATAAAAGAAGGCAAATATTTCTACAAAACTCAGAAAGTATCGAGTTTACTAAGCGTTCTTTACAATCGACCAAAGAATGCTTACATTTGCGTTTGCTTACGTTTTCGCTATCAAAATTTGATTTTCTCTGAGTTTTGAGCTGGAAAACACCCTATAAAAATACCTGGGTTATCCTGAAGCACAAGACTGCATGATGATGAAGGTAAAGCTGTTATTTCTTGTATACTCTGCTGTAATTGCTTTAGACTTGATTTTACGCTTTTTACCTACAAAAGGAAAATATTTTACAAAAATTATTACACAAAGTTATTCAGATATTTCAAATCTTCAAGTATTTTCAAACTTTCACTGTGGATAATGCTACATACAAAAGGCCACTAACTGACTATGTAAGAAGCTACTATTTAAGGTTCGACATTGACTATTCAATTTATTTCACCTCGGGTGGTGAAACAGACTTCAAACCCACCTAGCTAGGTCCAACAGTCGAGCCACCAGAGGCACCGCTATGGGCCACAGGGCAGTTCTATGAGATCTACGAGGAAAAGTCTTCAATAAATACCATATGCTATGATGACATTAATAATACAAAGTAATTAAACTGTGATTCATTTCAATTGTTTGAGCGTTATTGTTTTACTTTCATTCAGTGGCTTTTTATAGCTAACCATGGCAAATGAAATAACTGAAGAAGACCAGTTGAAAACAAAACAAAAATTGAAGACTGGGGGCACAAAGTATTGAGAGTCTTTGAAAGAGGGATGTGTATCATAAAAGTTTGAGAACCACTGCACTAAGCCATATAAACCATTTTTATGGGTTTTACCTGTCCTCCAGAAAGCAAATGAGCAACTTGCAATGTGAGAAAATAAACTTTATGTGATTCAACTTGCATCGGTGTGGCATTCTTAATTCCGTCTATTAATTGTCCACACATAGATAATACAACATTTACTTCATCGAGCTTTTGCTGCACTAAAAGTACCTGAAACAGAGGAAAAAATGTTGATTATGCATTTTATTATTCATTATAAAGACTTTTTATTTTAAATTTACAAAAGAAACATGTTTTTATTGACAAAAAAATTTTTCAAAGTAAATATAATACTATACTGGTGCTTTAGAAATGATATACATTATTGTGGTACTGGCACCAACTATTTATTTATTACCAATAGATAACACTGGACAAAACCGTAGTTTGTCGGAAAAATAATGCCATGGTACAGACAGGGTTAGTAATGCTAACGTATATAAAATTTCAGTTAAAAGGCGCATTCAAGTTCTGAGTTAAGTTGATTTGCTTCCTACTGAGATATAGCCAACTTACACAACTATAAGTTTGGTTGATTTGACTTTTGAACAATGTAAAAATGGTTTGAATTATGAACACAAAAGTCATTGGAAAACGGAACTTTGTATAGTGAGCAAGAGCAGTTGCGATTCTCGCATTAATCAGAAACAGTGTTTGCATATGTATACAAATTACATTTTGTTTCAAAAAATCATTACTAATAGACAGATCCAGTATAATTAACTTCCTGGTTTTGTATTACAAACAGAACCAAAGGATAAAAAATGAACAAACTAACTATTTTATACAGAATGCGATGCCAATTTCGGATGCTTATTTTTGGTGATTCCAAACTCCTGACTTTTGGTGTTTTTGAATAAAACATACTTTCGCCTTACTATCTGTTATTTGTAGCTTATTTTTAGCTAGTTATTTTTGAGGTGGGGCCCAAGACAAATTCTAAAAAGGGAGCAGTGCTTAATAAGTTTGAGAACCACTGTTTTAGACGCTAAATGTTAAAACATTCACGCTGTCAAACTCAACTAGTATAATAAACAAAATTACATATACAATATTGAAGTATGAAGCACACTCAGTTCTGATTCAAATTTATATAGTATTTTAATGATACACTTTTGATTTGTTGCAACCTACCATTCCTTTACTGAGCAGGAACAAAATTTTCAAATAATCTGATCCACAATTACTGGCAAGATCTGCTCCAACATCTAATAATTGCTGAGTTGATGTGTGATCTCCTTCTTCATGATGGAGGTGCTGTGGAAAAAACAAATCTTGAATGTCTTTTACTCGTATATTCATATTTCTATGATGGTGGCATTTTCATCAAGATACCAGCCTACTTTTGAAAGCATATGCACGTTCATGAAAACAAAAGAATGAAAATCTTACAGCAAGCTGGAGTAAAAGTCTTGCATGCCAATAAACATTGTGTTGCGAAGCTGTGATTCCTTCTCGAAGTATGGGTTTCGCTTGTGCTGGTTTCGACATCTCACATAAGGTTGTTGCAAGAAGACTGATTGCTTCGAAGTAAGCTAGTTCATTCCCTGTTGATTTTGCAAGAGTTATCTGAAGATAGGAAAAAAAAATCTTATCAAGGTATAGTCAAAAGGAATAGAGTGTTCAAATTGGCAGCACAATGGCCTAGCGATTAAAGTGCCACATTTAACTGTGTTACTGTTAGCATTGCAAATCCCATGCCTCTCACCTCACCGAGGGTGTAATAGGTTAGGCAATGTCTAACAGAACGATTTAAATCCTTCCAAATATTAGTAGCGCCTTGTATATTGTGCGAGATCAGAGGCTTTTCCAAGGCTTTGCTTGGAGCAAAATGTGCAAATTAGTGTGATATAAAAAACAAATCAGGATAATTTCCTTAACAACTGTATGGAGTATGACAGGATAAGATTTAGATACTTATTCTGGGGAGAAGAAAGCCGTTAAGATGACTTAATCACATGACAAACCACAGCCTCTCGTCCAGGTACCAGTCCATGCCGGATATGGGATTATTTTGTTTTTTTCCGGAAGCATGGACCTGATAGTAGAGGAAGCTGTGACCGACCAGCAGTTGCGTGAATCACCCTACGGCGGCGGGGAGTCCAGCAATCTCTTCGCACATACCTATTCCTGCATAGGATTCGAACATATTCCTAACGGTGCGCCAAATAGCCAAAAAGGCCTTCATTCAATTTTTGCAAATTGCAGGAATAGAAAATAACAGTAATCGAATCACCGTTTATCTAAGTTCAGTGCTGACTGTGGTGCATTTCAAACTCTTTGAATTCTGTGTGTTCATTGTTCAAAATGACTCAATTTAGAATATATTCGATTTACCAGATTCAAAAACACCGTAGTATTTAAGAACGAAATTGAAATTGTCGATAATTCAGTTGATACCTCAATATTATTTTTTTTTCATTGACTTTTAATACATCCTACTGCCCATGCATCGAGAACATGTCAGAAAAAGTTTTGCAAGGAATGATTTTTTTATGCGGCACATTTCTCTTGAGAACAAATTTTGTTGATTAGTATCTTTTTATGCAATAAAACATATAAAATAGGTTGAAAAAAATAAAAAATATATTTATTAAGAATCGATTTTCATTCAACTGTACAAATAGAAGCATGGCCATGAATCTTTGTTAGATTTTTGCATTTAAAACGATCCACAGCACCTGGCAAAACATTAATAAATTCCCAGTCTAATCTAAGTTATGTTGTTCAAAAAACCAAAAAATTGTCGCTGAGATGCGCCATATTCGATCTCACTGATGCTAGTTGGTGATACATAAATTTATTGGTATTCATCCACTGATAAATTTTTGCAATATCACTATATTCAAATGATAAAATCTTCATATTAAAATGTGTTCGGAATGCCATGTTGTGGGCTCGTTACTAGAGATGTACCGATGTATCGGTATCGGGTATCGGTATCGGCAATATCGGCCATTTTTACGGTATCGGCCATGTATTGGTATCGGTGAGATTAAGGCCGATATTTCCGATATATTTACCTTTTTGATATGGTCCAGAATGTTTCAAAGATAAGTTGGAATACTACTTTTTAATTTATTTTTTGTCTGGAGAGATCGTGAGCTATGAGCCATACATGTCCCCACCCCCGCGAGAGAATAGGATTCACGTGTTTTTAGCTATTTATCAGCCAAATATCTCAACTAATTTGGCTATTTTCACTGTCAAATTTTTATATTGAAATTTTTAATATTACATAGTAATTATGAAGAAATATATCAACACGGCACATAACAAAAAGCAATTAGACGCCCAGTTTTAAATCATACAGTGGAATTGGGGTCCTTATTAACGGCACATGGACTTTTGGCACGGGTATAAATTTTGACTGTTTGTCGTCAAGTACGAGTGTCATTTAGTCCGTCGACATCAATAAACTAAATTCCGACACAATTATCCCTCTACGCAGGTATATATAGATATATTGACATGACCGCCTAGCCCTAGACTATCACAAAATATATGATAGCAATTGTATAACATTATAAAATAGTAAAGTAAAAAAACGTCCTCGACGGTTGTAGGTAGGCCTTCTTTTGGTCGGTGCTGATTGATATTCTTTCATGTTGGCTTTGACTTACTTATTGCGTCGACGATTACGATTAGCGACGAAATGAAATATTTGAAAAATGCTCTTAATTTGATCGTAGGACGGCGGCTCTAGAATGTGTGGGTGATATTGGATATTCTTTTAAACACAAATAACCATTTTTTGAAGGTCGCGATATTACCATTAAATTCATATTGGACATCCCGGCTTATGAGTTTCAATTGAACACCGAGATTACTAGCGTTACTGTACAATGTATCTTAATCAGTTAAAGCATATGGATACCAATCATTAATTTCATATTATGCGACATATATATCTTTTTTTTCGATTTCAAATATTGTGTACCATGGACAACGCTCAGAGACCATTGTTTTAACCCGTCTGCCCTACACAACACACCTAATTAAGTAATATTTACATAGTATCGGTATCGGAATATCGGTAATATCGGCCTTTTTGTAGTATCGGCGTATCGGTATCGGCGTTTTTAGCTGGTATCGGTATCGGAGACAAAAGTGGTATCGGTACATCTCTACTCTTTACCTCTTAAAATTAGCATTACCCCATATGAATTATCATTATTTTATCAGTTTGGCAATGACACAAAAAAATTTGTATTATAAAAATTTAGAAATTTCCCAAATAGTCAGCCCATCTGCAATTCCATTTTCAAAGATTTTATTTGAAACACAGCATATGCCACAGTCAAAAATACTATTTCATGTTTTTGAATTATTTGTATAACAATACTTGCAGATTTCCTGTTTCTATCTGACAGATACCAAAACCTTAACAATAGAGCCATAGTGTCTACTACTTTCCATATTACCCACATGGTAAGCATAGAAAACACTATTAACAATAGGTACATAAATTGAAAGTGGAAACACTACCTCATCAATTTTTTTTTTCTATAATAGGCCTGTAAAATCACTGTTTTACTGTATCAGCAGATAAGATGTTTTTACTTATAATATTTAGCTTCTTTTTCGTAATTCCAAGCAATTTTGAGCAATGTCTTCTTCAATAGAAAAAAAATTTCCTATTCAGTACAAGAAATCAAAAAATACTAAAAAATCAGTAAAGCAGATACCCATAAATAAAGCATGTGTGATACGATTGAAATTTAAAGCTTCAATATTTAGTGAAAACAATATTTTATTGTGATGTTTTTATTTCATGCCTTTATTAGACTCAGAACATGTAGCGATAGGTAGAAAATGCTATTCTAATCTAATATTTTTTTTCAAAAATGTTCGATCAACAAATGATAGGAATTTATAAGATAAGGCTTTTGCAACCGAGTTTATCTTCACAATACCGGAAATTATAGTATAGAGCAGGGCTACTCAACTATTTTTACCGAAGGTCCGCATAAAAAACTTCAAAAATATTTGGGTCCGGACTTTCCAGAAATTATATTTCGGCATCCTTAAACTAGGTATGTTACAAAAAAATTAAAGTTCATCCGATTTAAATAAAAACTGCACCAGTGGATAGATCTAAGTGAAAATAAGAAAACAATACCAAGTTTGCGAAAAACGGTCAAGAATTAACGGAAATATCGGCATTTCAGTACCGCCTGATAGGCCAATTTTTTCCATAAGGATTGTATTGCGCCGACTCAAAAACTGTGACCGCGAGAATGTCAGACCGATAAACAACAGAATGTATCTCGGCTATTTTTGAAGGTAATCGAAAAAAATTAGGAACGAAAAGTTATTGTGAATAGAAGAACCTAATGCAAAAAAGTTTACAAATTCTTTTCAACTAAATTAGCTGCTTTCCAATTAATTATGTACGAGAAAGTCTCTGAACTTTACATAACCTCTTGTCGGCAACGACTTTTCCACTACGCAAGTCCCCGCCTACGCGGCAATTAACTGGTTCAGCGTTTTTCATATCCGACCTTAATTGATGAACGCTTAATTATTATTTAATATTCTTTATCTCGTAAGATACTTACCGCGCTTAGTGAAACGCAAAACGAGAGAAATCGCTGCGAGGAAAAATGTCGGCATTCAATCGATAACTGATGCGCGTTGACAGATGCGTGCTAAGATCATACTTACCGTACCTCGAATTAATTTGTACCGTTTCGTAAACGTATGCGAATTGACTTTTTTTAATAAGAACTTTAATGAATATGAAAAAAGAACACATATCAATGACTAATCTTTCGATGTGCGTCACATCTACGAAATATTGGGATTATTTTGGGATTTTATTCTGGCAACGGTCATTGATGCCGTCGGAAGATCGTCGCAAATCAACCCTGGAGTTGGGCATATTAGTTTGACAGTGCCTCGTTGCGGGTAATAATTAACAATGTTCTGATTGAACAAACTTCATAAAAATTGGCAAGTATCAAGTTAGGAATGACATACACGCGTCCATATATAATTTATTGGTGTCCATAGACAATATCATTAATTTGCAGTACGTATACCTTGAGCGTAATTTTTAAAAGCCCCGAATGTTGGGAAATTTATGCGCTAAAGAAAAAATCCAAATACCGAAGCATAGTTGTGTATTTTATCTAAGCTATGTCAAAATTTCATGGAATTCTAAACAACAGCAGGCAGTCTGTAATCGTTTTTATGAGCGGTATTCCGACACGTCGTAACGGTACTTAGCAGACGTGGTGCGTACATTTTTTGGCGCGGAAAAGCGCGTTTTGTAACATTCCCACTTAAACATGCAATTCCTCTGCTGACTAATGATTTTTAGCTAATCAAGATTGTTTGTTATGGCGTTATAGTTCTTTTCATATATATTTTTGAAACTATAAAAATAATTTTATAAAAGGAAATATCAAAAGTGGGGCTAATGACCCAAAATAAAGAATTATGCGCGGTCCGAAACAAATACCCGAAGGGTCCGGATTCGGACCGCGGTTCGCCAGTTGAGTAGCCCTGGTATAGAGCATGGGTGCGCAAGCTTTATTACAGGAGAGCCAGATACAAGTAACTGGGTGAAGCCGCAGGCAGCACCTTCATTTATGAAAGCCTTTCTTGTAGCTGCAGGCGCAAAAAATGTTTTTATTTTTGTCTTTGATCTTACGTCATTATTAGGGGGCTTTGCAGAAATGGTGAGTTAAAACGAATGAATTTCTGAAGGAAACTGCTATTCAAATTTATTGTCAGACCAACCTTAAACGAATTCAGTGAGAAACCAGTTTTTATAGCATCGTGTATAATGCAACAGGATTTTGCTAGCTAGTTTTGCTAATATGACAGTGTCACTCAAGTAGGGATTGAAAGTGCTCGTACAAACCAGATTAACTAAACTAAAAACTCATTTCGTGGGCACACCATTCAAATTTGGCACTTCTCAACGCGTTGCACAATTTATGGTATGTAGAAAACTCGTGAACATCGCACAGGCATTGAGTTACCAAATCTATAATTTGGTAAATATTTTTACATTTTCAATTTATACCAGACAAGGCTAATATAGTAAAGCTATTGGTTCACAAATAATGAGATACAAATAAAATAATTCCTCATCGCATATGATCAACCACACCCAAACTGAGCTAAATAAAAACAAAGCTTATCTTTCTAAATACAAAACAGTAAACCATTTTCCTTATTATTTCTGCACAGGATTACGGCAGTGTTTGATTCAAAACAAAGACAAAAAACTTGAACTTACTGCAGCATGGAGATGGGACTGCGCCAACTGTTTGTTTTCCGTATGTCGAATAAGTAAGGTTGAAATCTGCAAGTGAGTTCGTATCTTGATCTGAGGTGGTGGGTTAATGTTGAATACTGAGAAAAAAGAAAAATAATATTCAGATGCAAAAAGAGAACTCTTCGATTTTAATTCTCCAAAATGGCTAGATTAACTGAAGCCTCCATAATTATTCTCTGTTCATTTCTGTCTACAGCAGGGATGGGCAACCTTTAATACAGAAGGGCCAGATATGAATAACTGGGTGAAACCGCGGCCGTACCTTTATTTAACATAGGGTTTCTAGTAGTTGCAGGCACAAAAATTTTAGGTAATGATCTAATATGACATGCACTGTTCCCTTTGCACAAGCTAGCTGTTAGGGCATTGTAACGTCATAGGGATAGATAATAATTTGGACTCGGGTGAAGGCTTTGCAACGCAGAGAGATTGGAATGACTCGGACATACCAGATTAAACTAGATTTAAAAACTGGTTTCACAGTCAGCACACCATTAAAAATCGGCACTTCTCTGTGGGCTGCACAATTTTTTCTTATGGGGCCGCACTTTGCACATCCTTGTTCTATTGTACCAAATCGCTACTTTGTACTCAAATTTGTAACGTAATTATGATTTATGATTAGGGCTGTCCAAGCGAACCAAATATTCGAAATCGAATCGAATCGCAAATTATTCGAATCGTTTTTCGGCTAATTTACGAATCGCTAAAATTAGGTACCGGTACATAAAGCGGAAACCATCTTTACGGGATGTTTTTCATCGGGCAAGCGGCGGCGCTCCGAGCTCAGACTACCCTCGCTCCCGGCTTGCTTAATTGGTTTCCCGATATTTCTCTCGCCTTCATTTTGTGATAAACATGTCATTACTAATGCCCGCCCGGTGGCACATGATTAGCCATTTCATGCGTGGTCATCATAACAAGGTATAGTCGATCGTGATGTTTTTGAGAGAGAAAAAGCAGACAATTTAGAAAACGATAGTTCTATAAATAGAATCGATTTGAAGCTGTTGAGTTAGTTATCATAGGAACATGGTACAGGCAACTCAAAGCTGAAACAGGTGTTTTGGGATCCTTATGATGGCAATACCTTCTTTAAATGGAATTTGTAATTTCTCCTGATGGCATTACTGTATTATCCATCTATATACCAAGACAAATAATTGCACTCTTGCATTTTGATGGCTGTTGTACACTAACAATATTATAGTCCTCAAATAATATTGTCATCCAACTAGCTTGGAATTTTTAAATGCAATTTTGAACTTGAGCAACAGTTTTATCTATATTGATGGTTGTTATTATTTTGCTGAAATTTACACAAAAAAACATAAAGACTAGTGAATAGGATTAAAATAGCATCTACAGGCTTTATATGTCCTACTAAAACTGAATCCATCAAAATTGAGATTGCAATTTTTGAATAGTGCAATTTTTACTCTTAACACTCAACAGTTTTCGAGACCCAAATTTTGGAGTTCTCCAATTTTTTTGACCAGTTCATACAAGCGTGTGATCTCCTTTGATGCACATACGTTACCACAACATCGAAGGGCAGGCGTTTATTGTATAATAGAGACAGATTTACTATTGCGCAATAATATTCGATTATTCGGTTCGATTCGGCGAAAATATTCGATTCGAATCAAAAAATTATTCGATTTTGGACAGCCCTATTTATGATGCTACCGTTTTATTATGGTACCAACTATAGATAGGGTTGCCACAAGTAAAATTATATTTGTCATCATCAATGATTTTCCACAACAAGTTCTCGTGGTTCGAAACAGCTTTAAACATTTCATTGAAACTCAAAGTCAATTTTGTTTGTATTACAGCGGTAAACATTTGAATCTCAGATTATTCAGATAATATATTTTTTATTATGAAAAACAAACTAAATAATTTTGGTTAGTAAATATATTTCACAATGGAGTAAGTATACCTCAGATGGAAAACTGTCATACATATGTTATTTTTCATTACTAAACGTTTTCGTTATTTACATTCAGGCAATACAAACTAGTAATGTATGTTCATTATCTATTCTGGAACACATTACCAGTATTTGAATCAAGGAGCTTGTTATATAGTTATTCGTGAAGAATTATATTTGTGAATTTATCCAATTTGGAATCTTGAGTTGAAATATCTAATTTTTATTTGAATAATACATTATTTACATGTTTATTTGACAAAATGAATTTTTATGAAAATTTGGCATATTCCATAATTTTGCTGTCCATTTTCTTCAAAAGATTACCAATTTCATAGCAAACAAATCGTAACTCCCATAGTATGTGTACCAGGTTAGGGTTAAGCCATAATTTTATTCCGATTTTCCTTATTTTAGTTCTATTACGAGTTCGGGAACTGTCTGTGTTAGCCAAGTGAATATCTCCTGCCCATAGGTTTCAGTCCCTTTACACAACTCGATGTAACTTCCATATTGGTGCACATACCGTACTTCTGAAGGACCGACAAATCTCTCAAGTCATCTCTAGCAACCAATATTGTAGAATTATTTTTTTTTCAATTCCAATTTTTTGGGCTGTTTTTCATGCTATCACTCCAAACGTGGCACTGTACGAGCAGCCCCAAATAATGAATGGAGAGAAATGATGTCACTATTTGAGTATATCTACTTAATACTTATTATGATATTTGTCAATAATATATCAAAAAATCATACAAACCTGCCATTAGGCACTGCAGGCACATCCTTATCCTAGGTGGTCTTGCTAATCTATAGTTTTCAGCAATGACAAGTAAACTTTGATATGTTGTTTCATTAAAATTCATATTTTTTGTTTTATAACTTGTACAACCAACAGAATTGTTGGCTGACGGATCGACCTTATTCATCTGTTAGAGTAAAACCATAATAAGTGAATTTTATTTTTGCGATGTTTTCACAAAGACTTCTATAACGAAGAAAGGCATTACAGGGCCGATATGCCCACATCAAAATTCAATGGGGAAATAAATAAAAAAATTGCTCACTAGATAAGGAAAGTACAAAAACAAGCAAAAACAGGGCATGCGATCAACACAGACTTCAGGTTGAGGAAAATCTGACTCTGATTCCAGGTTAGAACGAATTTTCCCTCTCCACATCCAAACCCTAATTTTAATAACAAAAACTTTGGTGTATACATTCGTCAACATGTTGTTAAAAACGCCTAAAAACCTAATTGTCTTTGACTTTATATAGGAAATGTTTTCTATTATTACCATTGAATTTTGACTAACTGGGAAAACATGTTAGACTCAGACTATGTCCTGCTCTCGACAAAGACCCTGTGTCCATGGAGAAACTTCGATATGGAATTTTCCTCAATAATAAAACGAATGACAAGTAATATTTTGTCCTCAGTAAATCTCACAAAAACAACTTTTCTCAGACTTATAAATTTGAAAATCAAACCAATAGAACCTGTATACAGCTCTTACTACGGCACTTGGGACACTACCAATAGTGTTTCTATTTTTGTTAAAAGCATGCAACATACTCATGCTTTACTCATACTAGCATTGAAAAGTAACCATGCAACAATAACAAGTCAATTTCTGCCGTAGTTCGAAATATGCATCATTGCACCGAACTATAACTATCTGGGTTGTACCTCAAGTACTTCTAGCTGGCGTAGCATAACAATTTTTGCGTATGTCAATCCTAACCCCCACCTGACTGCATTATCCTAAAATTACTTCACTACGACGTGACAGTTATGTAATAAGGTCCTTCAAACTATTCAAACTGACAACCAAGGCGCGCAGATGATCACCCGAAATCGAGCAATCTATTTCTCGCAGCAACGGTCCCGATATAGGAGAGATCGGTGCTGTTAGTGATTTTTTTATTGTCGACGCCGCTGCCATTTCGGGCCATCTTAGGTATACTTTGGCAAGCTCTATATCTATGACGTGATTGTGACTTCGTAGTGATGTAATATTTGGATGACGTAGACAGGTGGACGTTAGGATTGATATGTGCAAAAATCGTTATGCTACACCCACTACTGCACTAGAAGTATTCAAGGTACGAAACTACACAACACCCAACGATGATAAAATACACCTTTGACAGAGGCATTAGATTTCTGAAAAATTCTCGGTTTTACGTTTTACATAATATAATAGAGAAGGCGAATTATTTATATATCATTATTACAGTATTAATATAGTACTAAATAAAGTCTTCCTGGCCTCTCCCTTATCAAGGCTGACGTCACTGCAGATTGTCTAATAAAACTGGATGCAAATGATCTAAAATATTTGGTATAAAAAGACATACAGATATCCAAAATCAAATAAATCATTATTTTGAATGCACTCAAAAAATTTTCTACCAACAAAGAATTCCGAATACATTCAAATTTCAGAATTTGAACATGAGACATTCATAAAGCCTAAACGTAATATTGTGTAAAAATTGAAATGAACATTGTTTCGTACAATTTTCTACAATTCTAAATACAGAAATATCAAACAGTTGAGCCAAGTCTATTGTACTGATTATACTGTTATATGACATGGAGATTCCTATGTGAAGAGCACATGACTGTCAGACTGTGTGAATTATATGAAAAGGCTTCACATTAAGTAATTTCAGAATTTCACAACATACAACCTGACTTATTTTACTATAACTGCTGCACTAGGGCAAAATCTGTTTGTGATCACAATAAAATCGGAGGAATTGCATAAAATATATTGAGAATAATACTGTAATAGTTTGGTCTGGAATTCATTTTATTTCTGGTGGGAGAACAATTAAAATATAGAAAAGGATGGCAACTAAAAACCTCCAGCCTGCTTAACATAAAGATAACATAAGAATGATCTGATTAGCGACGTTTCTGAATTTGAATAAAGTTCAAAGAAAAGTTATAATACCGGTACATAGGTTCGACAAAATTATTATTTTCAAGTTTCTATAACTCCATTTGCGACGCAATCTAAACTTAACGCCTACAGTCAGACAGTGACGAATTTCGAAATCAAGATCTAAATTTGGTGCTGATCTGAGATGACCCAACCTAAACAATCGTTCATGACGACACACCTGAACAGATTTTCAGTTATAGACTTCATTTGAGTATGTAATTCCGAAAAAACGAAGTATATTTTGGCCAAAAGTGACAAAATAGGGATCAAAAAGCCGCCTAAATTCGCCGCGAACTTGATCGGATCGAAACCCCTTTTTTCGCAGTGTGTCAGTGCCCTCTTGTGACTGGGTCATAAATTTAGTATCGTATCGAAAAGACAGGGGAGTGGATGTTGTTTGGCTCTAAATTTGTAGACATGACATAAATTATGAGAATATTCCGAAATTATTTATTATAGAATTCAATCGTTCGTGTTCAGAATAAATTGCAAGAATTGGATAGTATTTAACCCAAATCATCCACAAGAGGGCAATAAAATACCAAAACTTCATTATTTCTTCGAAAGCGATTGTTTCGGTGTTGAAGTTACAACTTATGCGGCTCTCTCGCATTCGTTCGCGAGGACATTCGTATTTGTGGGTTTTGTCTATTTGATAAATGCGCGTTTTGATTGGTTTGCTATCGCTGGCTGTTTTTAACCCATTTTTTGAATGCTGCATGTCCTATGGCTTCTTCAACCGCCAAGTCCATGCATCCTAAAACAAATAACAATTAATCCAACCGTTCGCCATATGGTTAAGTTGAAATATTCAACAGTACAAATTTTAAAACAGTGACATATCCGTTCTTGACCATGAGATTGAAAGCTCTGATGAGCTTCTTGTGTCACTCTTAAACAAAGTTATATTAAAGTTGAGATTTATGTTTGTGTGTATACTGTGGCTTCAAAAAACTGTGTATACAGTTTAAATAACTATTATAATATGTACTAGCTGATACATATAGCTATACAGTACCGGTATTTTATATTCATCTCATTTTCTGCAATAGCGAAAATCAATTGTGACCAAATTTTACCTACCGTTAAAAATGTATGTTTAGGCAATTTTTACTTTCAGTATGGACATTTCAAATGACCCAGTTCTATTCTTATTTGATCGCATAGTTCCAGTACCAAAATTCGGTAGCTTCATTTTCAAACAAATAGTAAAATGCATGATAAAGCCAGGGAGGGAAGCGTTAGTGTTGTATCATTTCGAAAGTCTATCGCGAGCCGTCACGAGTTAGAGCTAATGTGTCACAAGTATAAATCGCTCAACATTAGCTCAGCTTAAGATTTTTAATTACGGCAGAATAAACAAACAAGGCAGTGTTTCTAATTCCTAACGCAGTTGTAGTTTCCACAAACACAGGCCTAAGTTGTATGCCAGGGGTCATTTTGATCTGGTATCAAATTGGGTATTCACGATTGAATATGAACTGCTCGAAATCTTAAAACATTCTCTCATTGCGCACTTGACCAACCTTTTTTAAATTTGAAAACTTCTGACATCTTTTTGACACTCTGACCACAGCTTGAACCTAAATCTTCAAGCATATCAACTAACCTTGTACAATTTTCTGTAATAGTAAGGGTCCAATCCCCGTACCACATTTTAATAATTTCACACTGCCAGAATCTCCAAAAAAAAAAATTGTGTTAACTACAGAAAATGTTTAAAACTCAAATGCTCATTTCGGAGATAGATATTTGTAAAATAAACACATAATACTGAATACTAAAATACACAAAATAAATTTTTAAAATATAGAGATAAATTTCAGTCTAGGATATTTCAAAAAAATATATATACTAAATACAGTTAAATAAAATGAAGGATTGCAAATATTATATATCACGTCAAAATATATTATGCAGTCAATAAGTGAATAAATCAAGATTTGCCTTACAAATTTAAATCAAATGAAGAAAATTGAAAGAGCTTTTTTGCAAGAAATAAATATCTTTTTGAAGCCAAAACCTTACAGAGTTATTGTTTTATTAAGCGCATCACAATTATTTGACAAAGGCTCTTTTTAACAGCAATTGCAGATAAAGCTTACACCATTTTTCCTATCTCAATATAGGATGAAGTTCAGTTTGAAAAAGTAACTTGATTCATTGGTCACACAGATTTTGATATACATTGAAAAGCTGCAACAGACAATTTAAATGTTTCTCTGAGTGGTTGCAAAGCAAAAACATTTTACAAATTATTTCTTAACATTTTAGTATTCCAAAGTAAATTTTGCAAAATTTCATGAGTTATCCTTTTGCTCTTTCATTGAAAAAAAAACAGGAGATATGACAATATCGACCTGGAGCAATTTTAATTTGGGACAATAACAACAATGTCTGGCAAGATTAAAATTTATTTTGGCTTGAATTAAAATTTTGGGTATACAGTAAACACAATTTTTTGTTTGCATATAGATAGTTATTTTAACATTCTAATCATACACGCTTTATTAGGATATAAGCATGTATCAATCTAGCATAAGTTTATTTTAGTACAATTAAATGGTGTTTGATAAAGTGAGATGCAATATTTATGATGAATTTACTCAGTTATCTTCTTGAAAGCTTCTTTTTATCGATACATGAGGATATTGTTGGTCCAATGAGTGGACGACTTCTTTGGAGAATGCAAAACAAAAAGAAACATCCAGAAAACTAAAATTCTTGCTTGATTCAAGGAGATTGATAATAGAAGGTACAGTAACCAATCTTGTTCCAAGAATGTCCAATTTCCTGTGAAAATGAGATATTTATTAGAAGTCATCTGAATGAGGTTAGGTGGGACATCTCATTCAATATAAGCTTGATGTTATATCCAATGGTCACGAATTATTAACAACTGCCGTATATTCTCGCATATAATCCGAGTTTAGAACTCAAAAGTTGCCTAACTAAGGGGTGGGGCCAATATGCACATAATTCTGATCGCACTAAAAATTCGGCTTATACATTTATAACTCAAAAAGAACTTGAACCATGCTAAGTACTCGCAATAAGAGCGTACAATTTGTAGGGTCGGCTTATATGCAAATTTTTATAAATTCACCATTTTAGGGGAGGGGGGGAGGTCTTATATGCATGGGTGTCTTACTGACATGACAGTGATAACATGAGCCTATTACCAAACTAAATCCTTTCAAGACTTGCATCATGGAAAATTCAAATTAAATGATTCGAAAAAAATATTACATGCAAGCAATACCAACCATCAGCAAATATTGATTCACAATATCTAATCTTCAATTGACTTGTGTAACACAAAATTAATTCCTTTAATACATAATTAATTTATTGAACAACTTACATTCAAAATATAAACTTAGAAATGAGTATAACTTACTCTAGCTTGGGGCAGTTCTTGCTCAGGGCATTGATTTCAGCATCTGATATAGTTCTGTTGGCAGTCACATATAACTTGGTTAAATGAGGACAATTCGACGCCAATATCTGGAAACAACCTGAACTGCTCTGCAATCCTCCACACCTTTGAACAAAGCAATTAAAAGTTAGAAGCCATTGTTGAGAAGGCCAGTGATGAGTGTTAACCGAAACTTCAGTGATTAGAGGATATATCTAATTATTGCAACATAGCATAGCATGGCCAAAAGAGCCTACACACCAATATCACACTATTTCACTAGCCAGAAATCAGTAATCAGTACAAATCTGCAATAGCTTGTGTGCAAAGGGTAAATAATAATTGAATAGATGAAAATAAATTTGGGTTAATGGAGACAATACTGAAATCTGACATAGTTTAATTCAGATTCACCATAAGCTATCAAGTTCATATGAACATAAAAATAAAATATAGTTTTGGAACAGGAATGAATCAAATATGCTATCATAACATAGGTATCATTCTACTGAATGTATGGGTAAAATGAAAATTGACTTGTACAATAACTGCTTCTAGACATGTTTGTCTTATATTCCAAATGAAAATGATTTTTCAGGATAATAAACAATTCAGTTTTATTTTGGAAACTATAAAAAATGTATAAGCAGCATATTATCAGATATATTCATTTGTATTATTCAATTTTTCAGATGTCATTTAAGTTTATGAAATATTATCATTGAATAAATCACCGATGGGCAGAACTTAAACAAAATTCATATAATGTCCACACTCGATGGTATTAAAATAAATCTTTTCCTACTAGAATGTCATATCATGAATCAATAGTGATGTAATATTAATCACTACATATCTGAAATGACTCAATTTAATACTTAATACATGTTACCATCATTTCTCGTATATTAAAACAATACAGTAAGCTTTTTTAATTACTCATCACTGAGTGATCAACGTCTGATACCACGCAATGATGATTAGTGTTGTAATTCATCAATTGATTACCTATCTCCACCATATTGAAATTGAATACCAAAATTTGAATGCTCAAATTCATTTAAATAATAAGCAATCAATATTATTACATTTGAGAAATTTAATTAGAAACGAAATTCTACCCATTTCAAGTGCTTTTTAGGAGTTGACATAATCAAAATTTTGCATGTGAAACACACAATTTTAGCAGTGCAAATAAAATATTAGACAAATTTGATTTATGCTGGGATGTATTAGAAATTCTAATCGATGGGCATTCTGAAATCCATCTTGCGATTAAAAAACATAATGAATGTATTTTGTAGTAATCGATTTGGATATAAAATTCAAGGCAAAAATTGATTTACAAGAATGCCAGAAATTTGAATTACCATATAGCTTTCATCAGTAGAGGCTAATCGACTCACATTTTTTGTCAATTTATTAAACCAGAAGAGTATTAATTCAATCAAGTTGGACAAAAATTTAATGCTTCTCACTTTTTATTTTAAGCAAAAACAGACATTCAAAAAAGAGAATTTTGCTATTGATTGTTTTAAACCTCTATTAGTAAGTGGGATTGGGGAGAAATTAAAAAAAAAAAAGATAGTAGGCTATATTCATAACTGAGACTTTCTTGATAGCAGAATCCCCAAAAAAATTTAAAATGTGTTCTCACACTATCATCCCAAAGGCTCTGTATAATCATATAAACCAATTATATTTGATTAACCAATTTATCACACTCTGGGTTAAATTAGAACTTCCTCTTACCATCCCAAATCAAGTTCTTCAATAAAATTGCATGAAGTCGTTAATGAGTTAAGTCCATGGCTTGTCAAACTTTTTGCTCTCCAGCAATCTAAACTTCTTATTTTAGGACAATGTTGAGACAATTCAACAAGAATCCTGCAACGATCAAAATAATGTTGAATAATTATATAAAAGAAAATTTCCAATTTCTGCGGCAATCTTTCTGATTGTAAATTTGATACGAGTGTGCTTGAACCTCGAAGCTTGGATTACGGTAATTCCTGTGTATAATCCCTAAATTTACATGCAGCGATTGAAACATCGATGATTGCTTTCTTTCGAATGATTAAACTATTGTCAGTTTATTTTCCTTGTTGAGAAGAGCTAACATGATATAAAAATTCTTACACTTTTAAAAAGTTGACACTTATACCTCAAAATAGCATTATAAAAAAATTTGCTAGTTGTCTCTGATGAAAATACCATAATCTCTTTCCACGAAATATCAAGTATATTTATGAGCTTTCGTTGGATCATAGTCTACCTTCTTCAGATAAAACAAGATTTGGCTTAATTATAGAGCGAATAATAATTATTCGCTGTATCTATCTTAGACTATGATCTAACGAAAGCTCATAAATATACTTGATATTTCGTGGAAAGAGATTATGTTATTTTTATTTATCTTCATAATACTATCTCAGTCACGCATCCTTGTGGCAACAGCCACATAGGGATCCGGAATAGAAACAAGGAGAAAGGACCTGCAGTTCAATACACAATACCCTAGTACACCCCATATTGGTGTCTATGATGAGTCATGATTGCGTACCTATCAAAATCAAGAATGCAAATACAGCTTCCAAGATTTATGCTTTGTAAGTTTGGATTAGAATGAAGAATGCATAGAATTCCAGCATCATCTATCTGGAAAGATAAAAATTTATTATAAATAAAAAAAAAGGGCTATATAAAAAACACTGTTTCCCTGGCCCATGTTAATAGTTCTGAACAGAGTTAGGTTGTCAATATTTGTGTTTTTCTAGTGGCTAGACATGTTTGTAATAAAACAGCAACAAATAACTACTTCAGATCGAACCATATTACAACAAGAAATCTAGTTCCTGCGCACAAAGCAAGTTATGCAATGCTGCACCGGAAATTAAAATGATCCAACATTAAATGATTTAGCACCTTAATAAAGCGTTATTACAAAAGGGTTTAATAGAATACCTAAAAGCATTTCCCTAAATATTTTAAATTTTTTATTTTTTCACATTTTTGATACAAAAGCTTACCTTTGTTCGATAAAAATTAACATATTCAAGTTTCGTTAAATTGTGTAAAATCCTCAGTCCTTCAGATGTGGGTGCGTCACATGACCAGATATTGAGATGTTGTAAGTTTGGACAATAATGTGAAATTTTGCTCAAAACCTCATCAGAAACGATCGGACATGATGCAAGTGACAAATGAGTGAGAACATGAGATCCACAATTCGCGACGAAATTTACTAGAGATCCGCTTGAAACAATTCCACCACCACCACACCATGATAAATTCACCGACTGAAAATAAATGTGTATACTATGAGAGCTTCCTTTCAAAATAAAATCCTAAATTATAGTCAAGTTGAAACATTTCAAAATGACATTACTTGCTTTAGCCAGTTTAGCAAATCAAATTACTTGAGTCCCAAATTGTATAATGACTTCGGTGGTTAATATAATATGAAATCTAAAAATTTTTAAAAATTTGGTGGCAAATATAATTTAAAATCTTAAAATTTAAAAGATTAGAATGAGATCAACGACATTTTTCATCAGCGTGATCAGCTACAAATACTATACACAAATTTATATTTCTAAACATAAACACATAACACCTTACCTGCACTTGAGGAGTAGGTGGCGATTTATTGTCTTCCCACGTCACATCATATAACTTTGGATTACAATGTGTAACCAAGCATTCTAACGCATCATCGTTAATGAGGTGCCAACAACTTCTAAGGTCGATATTGTTAAACCATGAGGGATCATAGCTAAGTTCATGAAACAGCTTGCACACACGAGCACAGCGGCATAAATCCATAAGAGGTAAAAATGAGAATATATAACATAAAAGTTCCGGTGGAAGATTGTCAAAATATCCATTATTGTGTTCAACTTTTGATTTATCAGAAATGGTGTCATTTTTCGATTTGTTTCGAGATATGTCCTTCATTTTATTCGAATAAGATTTGACAGTCCCGTCATCAACTATTTTCAATTCTTCAAATAGTTTCACTGGAGGATCGACTGAGGTTGAAGGGTAGTATGTCAAAGTACCTAAATAAAATCACACAAGTTATTATCTTACATTACGCAAGACAGGTGTATAGATAATATCGGCCATTTTGTCAATACCTGTAATTGTATCGCCATCGACTGAAAAATAAACCAATATTTCCAACATATCCAGCTCTTTGATCTAATTTAGAATGTTCTGAAGTATAAGTAGGTATACAAAATCGGCAACTGAAATTATTTTTTTCATAGAGAAATTATATATACATATACTTTATGATTTATAGTAGCTAGCCCATTATGAGTTATCTAATCAGGCACCACGATTCCTAGCAACAGTGCACAATCAAATATCTGCTATAATTTGCTTAATAATAGAGGTGATGATCCCCATCTTTGAAAATATTATCTCCTCAAATATTAGTGGTTTCTTGAGTAAAGGCCTTGAGTGAGGGCATGTGCTGTTGTATAAAAAACAGCTTTTTGTACACATTTTTACGATTACAACAACAATGCACCAACCTGTAAGTTCAACTGCATCAAGTTCAGTATAATATTGTAGGTGAGTGCTACAAAATTCAAGTCGAATGATCCTAGTTAAATGCTTCATTTCATTTAGAATAGGAGCAAACATTCGAGCTTCATTTGAAGATGAAGGAAGATTTTGTTCAGGAGAACTACATTCCCATAATATCTATGAGAAAAACATTTTCAAAATTGCATTCCTATGCTGAAGAATAAATTATTGCTACCCGCCCTACTTTAACACAACTTCATTAACAACGCACATCCCTTCTATTGCAAAATTGATCAGAACGTTTCACTCGGATGCTCAGGGGCAAAATCATGATTACTGTAAACCAGTTGACGGTCAGCAAACTGCAAACAAATTTTTATGGCTGTCCAACGACCTCACTTTTATTGCATGAAAACAAAAAATGCTCACTGCCCTAGACAAATGTTTTTGAAAAAATTTTCACACAATTCACAAAAACATAAGCACCTCCCAATGTGAGCATCCTGGTGCAAATGGAACCGGTACTGGCATTGGCCTTTCTTCATTTTGAGAGAGTCTGTAAAAGAAACAATTTATCACAGATTCAATTTAAAACACATTTGTGAAAAATATATTATGGTATATTATATTTCTGTAAGGTTATAGCATATTAAATCATATCTTCAATACTTTTAAGTTGGGTTCATCAATCAATTATGAATTATTGATTTGAATTCTATCTCACGAAAAAAAAGCTTGGTTAAACCTATAATATAAAATTATAAGTTCCAGATAAAACATCATGATAATAGGGAGAATGCTATATTTCAATATCAGTGAAAACCAACTTGAAAAATCAAAGCAAAAGAATGATTTACCTACCCAATATTATGTACTGGAAATGATTGTCTTAATGCGAGTATCCTGACCACGGCTCCAGGGTTGTAGGTTTCAAAAATGGCAATTGACCATGGATAGACAGATTGATCAAATACTAAATCAATGTAATCTTCGCTGTAGAAGTTTTTTTCCCTGTACAAGAATAACAATAATTATAGAACGCCTAGCTTTACTGCAACAATTTCTTCAAACTAATCACACAACTGGAACTTATTCTTCATGTTCCAACTTTCAGCAGAGGAGAGCAAGATTTCTGTATAATTAGTCATATTATTGAGCAGTTTTATCCCCTTTCCTCTCCCTATGAATAAATATGGTAATACGAAATTCCGTTAACATTTTTATTTCGGTAAATAATTTGTAAAGTGATATCAAACCTGGGATGTCCAGATGCTTTAGATGCCTCATTTTTATCTTTCCACCATGGGCCATAAGTTCGGAACACTGCAGCTTGAGTGAAATCTCCGTACGATGGAAATATTCTTGGTTCTCCGGCAATATTTGCAACCGAATATGACACACTTCTGGGATTTTCTCCCCCATACTGTGAACTAAAGTCGATTACACCAGAGGCATATTGCTTGATAAATTTTGGTTGATTGCTTTTCATTCTTGCGCTTTTGAAATGTTGTCTACAATCAGACATCTATAAAAGCATTCTTTAGCAGCGTCACTTCTTTAACACAGTAACAATTTATCTATTTACCCTAACAGCTAACAATATTAATCATGCCCTCCACAAAAAGAGGACTTTCAGACAGCTTCAGCCACGAATTGCCTTAGGCTATAGCAGTAGATCTATAACAATATACCGCAGTAGTGATCGGGAAATATAGGTACCGGTACTTCAATACACTACTGCACTAACAGACTAGAGTATAAAATACAGCTATAACTAAAGAAGACAGATACCGGTATCGCCGAGGCTTTACCTGATAATCCAACCATTATCTATTTTTCACACATCTAACGAATTTGCTTTCTCCTGCAGGTGGAATCCTATTCTCGTATAATTTGTACTCAAGGACGCTTGACACTTTGCAACCTTTGTTTACGTTTTGTCAGCTGACTGTAAAATTCAACACGCTCGGGTGCGCTGGCATGAAAACATCAGCGTCATCTGCGTCGTCATACAATTTGCCGAAGGAGGGTCAAACCGTAGTAGTATATATTTACGGTCAAACGTTTCGAATTTTGATATCTAACATATTGGAAAACCACGTACTCGCAGTAATAAAAGTTCGAAAGGCATAATTATGTACCAATGCTTTACAAGTGGCGTTGAATGAAAATAGACCATGGTATTCTCTGTGAAGGAGAAGATACTAATGCCAGAGCTACCGTTAGAGGGATCGTTTATTACAAGATTTTCAGGATAGGAGTCTCATATTTATCCTGAGGGAAGAAGAAATCCTATAAGACGGATCATGACGTCTACGCCTAAGTACCGCAGCCTCTTGCCCGGGTTACCAGTCCATTCCGAGTTTTGGATGAGATAGCTGGTAATTTGTTTCAGATGGATGGAATGAAGCCGTCATCACCAGTAGTTGCATAAACCCTACAACGACGAAGACATGCTGTTGCATATAATCATTCCCCACGGGATTCAAACCTGCGAATCCACGCAAGGTAATCAGCGACGCGATGGCAAGCGTATTCCTAACGCGCAACACACTGGTTTCAAACTTTCATGATCGGGTTCCCTTCAAAATACCTCAACACTTGTGACCCCTGAGCTTCTATAAAATTATTCAGTTTTGCATGTAACGTGTTTCCATCATCTATTTAATGTTCCACGTTTTATAATAAAAAAGCCAACAAACGCAAGCAGATATAATAATTGCATCATAGTCAAAGAAAAGAAGTAAACAAATCGTAGTCAATCTACTCATCAATAACTGTAGGCAAATTAATGTGGGCATGGAGACTAATACCTCATGAAGGTCTTTGCTCGTATGACCCACAGGGAAGTCGAGGTCTTGGAGGATAAACCAGAAATTGAATGTAATTCAATGAGCTTCAATTTTACAATGCCGCAAGTCATAGGCTACCGTGCTTCAATGACTCAAAATGATAGAATTACAAATGATTCTAAAAGTAATTCAGAATTTGAACAATTTAAAATTCCGGAATTTATCGTATGACTTTAATTGCTCGAAATGTTAATTTTTCCTTTTGACGCAGCGGCGCCGTGTCAACATCGACCAAAAGGGTCTCGTCCTGCGTTTACAGCTTTCCCGAATTCGTAACACTCCTGAGGTTGTTATATTTAATATTGGTCGCAGTTTTGAAAGACTCACTGGTTTCGCCCAAATTTAGTTCGATTACTTAAAACGTTAAAAAGTTTTGAAAATATGTCTTTATATCATCTCTCCTTAGAACCATCGATTTAACACTATTATAATAATTACTTCTTATTGAGACCTAGGTCTGCGTTTCTCCCGCAATCATTGCTTTTTTTACTCAAGACGCAAGCGGTACTAAAGCAATATTAACTGGCGTTTATTATTCGCAAACGAACATTTATCTAATAAAAATAAATATGTGATTGAGTGTATCTCTATTTAACAAAAAAAATCATGTACGCCTATTTTGGGTATTCGATGCATCCATTAAATATATTTTTCACTACCAACCTTATTTATTCACTAGTTATTTAACAACAATTTATCCTAAAAAATATTCGAAACTCACATTCCTGTCTACAACTAATATATTAGTGGTGAAAAAGCCTTTTTAATCGGGACATAGCCAACATATCCATTTTAGTTGGGACATTCCAGAGTTGGTTTTGTGGTCGGACTATTGCCTCCTTAAAATCCCGGTAGAGTTGGCGTTTGTCTTTCTTGCCTATTTGAAATTTTGAATTCTATCACCATATCTTCCTGCTTGTCAGAAGCCTACAGACTGTGGGGTAATGGTACGATGGCCGCCAAATTCGTACAAAAATAAATGCAAAACCAACGCTTCTGGTATCAAATCAATTAGCAATTTTGATGACGTCATCGCACACAAAACACGAATCGCATAAAGGCCACTTCTAGCGAAAAATACAATCTTCAACCACTGATAATTTCAAAGCAATCGGTTTAGTAGTTATTAATGAGAAAATCGATGTTTTCATAACGTTAATAAGAAAAATACTATCAACAAGAATAACAACAACAACATAATAACAGAACGATCCATATGTACGTTTCGTGTCCAATAATTCGAATTGAAATCTTCAAAATCAGCATAACAGCTTCATCAGGATCCCATAGTATGGTAATTTTTTATCGCAAATTTGTGATTGATTTTTATGTAAAAAAAATCTAATTTCACCATGACAAAAAAAAGTGGGACACGATACCATCAAGAAACGGTTGAATATACCATGCTAATTAAATTATATTTATGGTTGCGGTGGTGAGAGAACAATGTGTATAACCAGCCCAAGGAATGGCGTTCATAGACGCTCTACGTGAGAATTAACCGGATTAATCCACAATTTTTTAACTCAAGCCAAGATTGTTTATAGGTTCTCGTCACGCGCGGGACACATGCCGAATACCCCAGCAATCATAAAAATAAAAACTACTCATTCTTTCGTGTTAATAAATACAAATACATTGATAATACAAAATATTTTATTTCTGAAATTCCACAAAAATCACTTTTCATCATGTGCTATCCACACTCGCCTAAGATATAATAGAGCTCCGGCAATCAACACAATCAATAAGATAAGAATTAACCCGCCGAATATACAGATTAAAAGAAGTTCTGTAAAAAAGAAAAAATTCATTAATATAAATACTAGAATTTTACAATGCAATTTGAAAATTTAGACAAACTATTTTATACGAAACAGATTAACTTGAATTTCAAAAATTTATTTAGTTCAGTTATTAATTTACTGTACATTACTAACTATATGGGGAAAAAGTAGGAGCTTACTGGGATGAATTTCGTCTTCTTCTCGGAAACTATTGATTTTGTTCTTCGTGTTTATTGGCTTCACATTTGCGTCTGTGTAATTTGTGGATTCAACTAAAGGAATAACTGTTGGTTTCATCAAATATATCGTAGTAGTAAATTCTTCGCCGTTGAATTTGAGAAAATATTTGTTTGTGGAATCACCGCAGTTGAAGATCAACGTTATATTGGGCCATATCACCATATCTTCCTGCTTGTCAGTAGCCTACAGACTGTGGGGTAATGGTACGATCAGTGAGAATGACGTCATCGGAAACACCGCGCTCATTAAAATTTCAATGAACGATTATCAAAAATCTTGGCCATGTTTATCATGATAAAAATATCAAAGAAGATGTAAAAAATATTCTATTCTCCAAACTGCCCACGTCTACAATGAAATATATCTAGAAAATTACAAAAAATGCAAATTTCTGCTCTGGTGATCACATTCCCCATAAGAGCTAATGTTAAAATTGTTTTGTTTACATCACTTTTCTTTTTGCGCGTAGGATGGGTTTTTAATAAATAAGGTCTATTGGGCTGCCGCCAAATTCGTACAAAAATAAACGCAAAACCAACGCTTCTGGTATCGAACTGCAGAGGAGGAAGTAATAAAATCGGAATCGTGGATGAGAATCCACATTTTCTGTTCTCAATATTAGAGTAAATATATATTAAATTAATTAGCAATTTTGATGACGTCATCGCACACAAAATACGAATCCCATGAAGACCACTTCTAGCGAAAAATACAATCTTTAACCACTGATAATTTTAAAGCAATCGGTTTAGTAGTTAATGAGAAAATCGATGTTTTCATAACGGTAATAAGAAAAATACTATCAACAAGAATAACAACAACAACATAATAACAAAACGATCCATATGTACGTTTCGTGTCCATTAATTCGAATTGAAATCTTCGGAATCAGCATGACAGCTTCATCAGGATCCCATAGTATGGTAATTTTTTATCGCAATTTTGTGATTGATTTTTATGTAAAAAAAATCTAATTTCACCATGACAAAAAAGTGGGACACGATACCCACAAGAAACGGTTGAATATACCCTGCTAATTAAATTATATTTATGGTTGCGGTGGTGAGAGAACAATGTGTAAAACCAGCCCACGGAATGGCTTTCATAGACGCTCTACGTGAGAATTAACCAGATTAATTCACAATTTTTTAACTCAAGCCCAGATTCTTTATGGGTTTTCGTCACACGCGGGACAAATGCCGAATACCCCAGCAATCACAAAAATAAAAACTACTCATTTTTTCGTGTTAATAAATACAAATACATTGATAATACAAAATATTTTATTTCTGAAATTCCACAAAAATCACTTTTCATCATGTGCTATCCACACTCGTCTAAGATATAATAGAGCTCCGGCAATCAACACAATCAATAAGATAAGAATTAATCCGCCGAATATACAGATTAGAAGAAGTTCTGTAAAAAAAAGAAAAAATTTATTAATATAAATACTAGAATTTTACAATGCAATTTGAAAATTTAGACAAACTATTTTATACGAAACAGATTAACTCGAACTTCAAAAATTCATTTAGCTCAGTTATTAATTTACTGTACACTACTAACTATATGGGGAAAAAAGTAGGAGCTTACTGGGATGAATTTCGTCATCTTCTCGGGAACCATTGATTTTGTTCTTCGTGTTTATTGGCTTCACATTTGCGTCTGTGTAATT